ATCGGGATTTCTATCAAATGTGATACAATACCGTAAAGTGTCGGGTTAATGTAGGACCGTGCGAATCGATCACCTCGTTATGTGCATATAAGTTTATATTACGTGCAATTTCGAACGCCGTTTCCATTCAAAGTTGCACGCCTTGAAACTTTTCACGTCGACATACTTGTCGATAGAACACCGACCTTCGTCGCGCCTCCAATAAAAATTGCGCGAAATTATCTGATCTAGATTATCGCTTTTTGCCACAAAAAAAAAAAAAATATCCGACGCTCTCGGAATTACAAGCAGATTTCACCAACTCTCTTGCAACCGTAAACTAAATTTTTTCCCGCCATTTATACACGTAGTCGGTAACGCGGTCTCCCGACGAGAGACGCGGCGGTAAATCGCGGTGTTGGATTTAATCGACGTCGGCGAAACCGGGCCTATATCGCGCGGTGACACGTACGTAGATACGCGAGCAAACATTCTTTCGACGGCGCCGACGGGTTTTCGTAACGTTACAGGCGATTTATGTAAATTATCGGGCACGGAGCCATGTAAATTATAATCCCGCGCGACGCCGCGTGCATAGCAACACTCGGCTGCAGCGAACGACGTATTGCGATCGACTTTACCTCTCTTCGCGTGCTTCGTAGTTATTTTTTTCTTTTTTCGTATTTTTTTTTACGAGCGCGGCACGCCGATTTTAACAGCGTCTGCGACTGCACGCAGACGACCCCTATCTACGACGGGGGTTGAAATCTTTCGAATCCGGAGAATCACGGACGAAGCTATTCGCGTATTTCAATTTCCTTTCGCGATCGCGAATAAACAGCGCGCTCGCTTCGTCTCGCTTCGCTTCGCGATAAGTCCGGACGAGCTGTACGGGAGCAGCTTGCGCGCGGTCGTTTTCTTTCGCGTGGCGAAGATCACAGTGTTCACAGAAGGCATCTAATTGCCAACCTCGCGCATCTCGCGCTCCCCCATAAACTTAACGACCGCCTTAACGGTTGGCCCTGCCGGTATGCTAAAGAGCGTTTCTTCGGCTATTTCGCGAAGTACCCTGTTAAAGACTTCGATGGGCCGTTGCGGTCTTCCATGCCTCGTAGGAGAAACCGCGTCGCGCGGGGAGTGTTTAGGTTAAAAGAATGCTTTTTTAAAGCTTGTACACATATAAACGAAATTTACGAAACTGCAACTAACAAAATTTCCTTTTTCTTTTTTTTACAAACCAACGGAGATCGAAAAAAAAGCGGGTTTTTTTTATCGAAAGAGAAAAAGTTCCGAAAAATTCGAGTCGCACGCAAATTTGCAGGTATTACGGACGGACACAAAGTTGTACGCCGATCGTTTCACGGAAATCGATCGCATCTTCGCAGTAACCCGTCACGCGCCCCGGCGGGGTCTTTGGAATTTGATTTTCTCGTCGGTTTGCATGATTCTGATTGAAGTGATTGAGAAGCGCGAGGAGCGAGGAGGGCCCGGGGAGTGCCGCCGACTGAGGGCCGATGATTGGTGGGACATTAGTGTAATGAGAGTCTTGAGTTAAGGGGTAAAACGTGGTAGCGGCTACCGCGCGCCGTGTATCCGCCATGATTAGAGCCTCGGTGGCGTTTTCGCCGATATCGTGAGTTCGTGAAATCGCTCCTGCAATTTTAATCCAGTCTCGAAGAGTCTTCCAAGTCGATGGAAGAGAGGAAGAAGGAGAGAACGGGAGGGATGTACCGCTTGGAAGAGATTCCGCGCGACTCAGCAGGAAACCGGGACAAAGACTTTGCAACAGGAGGTGGTGGGTATCGAATCGATGAACAGTCGATAGCACGAATATGTGCTCGAGCGCGCATAATAGGTAAACTAGGATCATGCGGCGAGAGAGGGAGATTGACAGCGCGTGATTGTTCGCTATCGATATGATTTATGTCTCCGCGTAACGATGTGAACGTTTTTGCCGCGCTTTTATTCCATACATCGCCGATCTTAAATCGCGTTGAAAAACACGTAAAGATTGCTACGTGGATATCAAATAATTTCCCTGAGTTGGATTTCGAAAATGACCGGCCGACTGCAGCGGTGCTCGCTCGGTTGCTCACTCGCAGGCGTTCGTCGCCGAACATTAGTCAAAACTTAGTAAACCAGGTATAATAATAATGTTAATACGTATTGAAGTAAATATATATTGCAGTATGTATTCGCATAATACTAGTTGCTTATTAAAAAAAAAAAAAATTAGTGTACGATAAAGACAATTCCCGGTAAGCAGTGTAAATATCGACTGTGTAATTGAGAGAATAATCGATATTATAATCACGCTGCGAAATCATGTAGTCGCGAAGTACTCGGTCGCTCTAACATCAAACGGATTAAAATCAGCACTGCAAAAACATCCTTCTGCGCATATTACTTTGCAAAGTAAGGTATTTGATTAACGACTTTTCTTCCACGAAATTACGTTGAATAACAATGTCCCCGTTTTTGTTGATCGATCTCGTATGAAATTATAAGGACTACCACGGATCAGATCGTTTACTCCCTGATCGAAGCTACCGGTCGGAAAGCAGTTTGAAGCGAAATAAAACGCGCGATGCGCCAGTTTCAGCGGCAACGGCGGGTCGGGATCGTCTCGTTCGTGGGCATTACGTATTCAGTGGCCAGTCGCCATTTTGCCTCGACCATTTTTGCCGATCAAATCTTAATTGTTGGCTGGCGGCTGTCTAAGGAGGCGTGGTCACCGGTTGGTTCACTTTCAGCCACGCGATGCACGAACGCATTGGCTTTCTTTCTTTTGTTTCTTTTTCTTCCTCTCTTGCTTCTTCTCGTCCTCCTCGCGTATTCCTCCTCAGGAGTGCGATGTACCTCGACGCTCTCCTCGAGTCGCCTCGCGCGTTTCACTTCGACGCAGCGGTGTCCGCGCAACGCGTATGCTAATCGCATCGAGTTACCAGAACGTGATAATAATTGTACGCCCTAAACTTTCTCTCCCTCCCTCTCTTTCTCTTCGACGCGTTCGAAATACGTAAGAAACGTACGAAAGTTACAAGCGTTCTTCATCTTTACGTGAAAAACTCTGTTCCCATACTTTCTCGTATAAATAACTTATGTCGCAACACGTTCTCGAATTTATAAAAAATTCGCTTTGATGAGAAGATAAAAAAGACCGTGTTGTTTTATTGTGTCAGTTTTTTTTTAAAAGATATCAGATTGTGAGTGTAAAAAAATTGAATGAAAGAGAAGAGATAACATCGCTTCGAATGACTAAATAATAAAGACGTCTATTGCGGCTCTTGACATGCCGATGATAAGCACCCGATAGAGTTGGTACACTGCCGCAATTAATCTTAATGATGCGAAGCTGCAATTATCGATTATCCTACGACAATCTCTTCGCTACTAACACCACCGCGTAATAAATCTACTCCTACACCATGATGTAAATGCCAACTAACTGGTACACGGACAAAGTAGCCGCCGACACTGGCGGCGCGGCGAAAGGCGGAGAATTACGCCCGCGGTCTAGCCCATCGAATTCCTGAATTGCAAAGTGCAGTACGCCATACGTCGCTTAATCAACGGTCGTCAATGTGTCCACTGCAGTGGAACGGTTGCAACTTCACGAGGGAGACAGACCGCCATGATGGAAAAAACAAAACAAAATTCCGCTATCATAGCTTTGACGTAACTGCAAATTAATGTTTGCATGTTATTTGCGAACAAACTAATTAAGAAGAATGTTGCAGAAGTGAGTTTAAAATAGAATATTTTGAAATAAAGTTACGAGCTTATTTACTGAAAAGTCAATTAAAACTATAGTGTGTTTATATTGTGATAATAATATATGACATATTATATTCTATCTTTTAAATCATTTTTTTATCTTCGTTATCAGAATATTGTTACAAATTTTGAAGAAAAAATTGCAATGCGGATAAAGATTGCGCATTAGTGAGCTGTTTACGTATGGCGGAAGGAGATTCGTCTTTTTTACAGGAGTCGGAGAAGCGCATCGTCCTGTAAAACACAGATTTCGACCTGCGCGCGCGTCCGTCAGGTACTATCCAATTAGCGCCAAATTAATATTACCCGCGGTGTAATCAGACTGGTACGCAGGCAGGGGCGCTGTGCACCGCTGCCAGCCTTCTCTTGGCATAATGACACGTATTACTCTGATTGGCAACAATTGGTAACAATTGACGGGCGGAACCGAGCCTCGAAGGTTCCGCTACTTTGCCCGCGTTGTTTACGACCAGAACTTCGAAACGTTACACCTTAATTGCGTGGCTACATGCTCGAAGAATTATCAAGGCTTCCTTACATCCCTTCGCCATTACTTATTAGACGTACAGTTTCTACCATGAAACTCCGTAATACAGTCAATTGTAGACGAACTATTCCTAAAACTCTTTGACCGAACGGTCTTCTCACGGAGCAAAGACGCAGGAAGTGTCGCGAATGAATTTTGCAAACACAACTTATTAGAAGTTTTTTTACGACAGTAAACATCATCCAATAAATATTAAACGAACGGATGTAAAATGACGATCACAGAATGTGTGACTTCCCCTTAACTTGAGTTAAGTCAGAAAAAGATAAATAGGTTAGGTTTAAATAAAGGTTTTAACAGCCGTGGCTAGTCGCGTATCTTCGCAATGAGAGGCACGAGGCCCGAGAAAGGGAGACGCACGAAGTCCAAATATGGGCATAGATAGTCGAGCGTCATTATGCGCAGGCGCGTCTACTAAGCGAGTGCGAGCGAGACAAAGCATTGGAAAGAACGCGAGAAAGAGAAATGCCCAAACGTGCTTGAATGTTCACCGCATGCGCACAAAGCAGCTGGAGAGAGAGGCTACTATATTGTCTGCACCGTAACATGTGGCTTCAGGTCGGCACCGTACTAGCAATATAGGAGTATTACATATATGGGTTTTAAATAAAGATTTTTGTTCATACATCAACACCTAGTATTTGACTCCGTATCGGTCCTCTTGCATATATATTTTTTAAAGATAAATAGAACTCACCGATACTGCAACAATTTCCCGACGGCTCGGATGTGGTGACCATCGGCTGCGTTACGCCGTGAAACGCGATGCTGCTCCTACGTTGTATCCAATCCTTTTATGAGATCGTTGAACAGCCGGTTTCTTTCTCTCGATGCAACAATCAGGAAAACGTAGTTTCTTTCTCGTTTTTTGCCACATCTGGAATATGATAAAAACAAACAAAGATTAAAACTCGAAGTAAGATTGAAAGATATCACAAGATTTTGCAATTTTTATTCAAATATTCAGACAAAAAAAAATTTACACACGCGTAACTAATAATTGTATAATTATAGATACTGTTATTATGCATGGTACTGCTATAAGTATTATTTATTCGCGAGAACGTTTGAGAATCTCTCGTTAAGCGCCATTTGATCTATCTCAGCAGCCTCGATCGCGGCGAGTAACGTATGCCATAATCAACGACTATTATAGACAGTTCGTGGAAGCTATTTATCTATTTTTCACCCGCATTTGCGCCCGCTCACGCTTGCTAGGAAAATGCGAACAAGAAAAAGGGAAGATAGCGGAAAACGGTGTGAAACAAGCGGCGCGTAATACGCGCGACGCTTCTACCGTAAACTATTCGCTTTACGGTCAATCGTCGGCGTTATGAGTTACCCCACACTCGATAGCAACTTAACGATCGAAGATAAGAATTTTATGAGCACTGGCGCCACGGCGCATTATAAATATTCAGTTCGATATACCGCATCATATACCCTACAAGCAAATTCGCGATTGTAAACGCGATTCGCGCGTAAGTGAAACGATGAATTATTAACACGGGAAATCTTTCCCATTTAACGTGATTCGACAGACTGCTCGAGTAAATATTGTTTACGCGTGTGAGTAATGTAAACAAAAACATGTTTTCTTCCGAATACGACAACGTACTATTTGGACATACGAAATTATAGGACAGCGCAGTTCTCCTCTTGAGAAGTAAATAAATTGAATTTGCTTAGTTTATCGTTTTTTTTTCTTTTTTTTTTTTTTTTTTTTTTTTTGACTCTCGTTCTTTACGCTCATGAGTTTCGCGAGATATGCCACCATTAAATAATCGTTTGTATATTTATTATAGAGCAGCGCGCAAGCGCATCGTTTCTCTTTCTCTCTCTCTCTCTATTTCCCCGTACCCTGTTATCCGAACGCGCATTTACGATCCGCCTTCCACATTTCTTCTAGCAATAAAAGCATTCAGCGGCACACTCGCAAGTGTTCCGAAGTATAACCTTCTCGCGAAACGGCACGGTCTACTATACGGTTCGTCCGCGAGTAAATAGAAGCCGCGAAAGATGTGCGGTATTTGCACAAGGCACTTGATGCTCTTTCTTTCGCGTATGCGAAACTCGCTTGTTATACATCTCGAGAAACAAGCTCGAGCTTTTTACCATGATTGAGAGATACTCGCGCTGTGTGTTTACTTATGCACATAAGGGATCGTAATATCCGATAGCCGAAGCATTGATGATAATCTCGTCAATTACAGTTGTTTATTACATGTATTTATTTTAAAAACATAATTCAAAATTTTTCACATACAACTTTAAGTAATAAGTATTTTCTCCATATAAATTTCAAATGAGATATTTATTATCTCTTGTTATAAAAACTCTCTTGTTGCAAATTTTCTCCGTTTACGTTATATTGTTGTTTTCAATGAAAAATAACACAAAAAAAAACATTTCTTTTCTTGAAAAAAAAAAAAAAAACATTGCGTTTAGAAACTACACGAATTGTATATCGATTAACAATCAAACGCGCTCGACTTCGATCACGTATTATTTTATGCTTCGCGTATTCAGAGCTGTTCAATGTCGAATGGTCCGCGGCGGTAATGTGGGATTATTTCAATTATTTTATTACGTGCACCATGTTAATCTTATGGCTCATGTAATGCATATAATCATGAGCTTACTCCGCGAGCGCGGGCGGCCGGGAGAGCCTGGAAGGAGCGCGCGTTCATCCCGCTTTTGCTCTCCGCACGGCTCGCGTTTTATAACGATATTGTAATTTGGAGACCGCAAACCCTCTGACGTCACCGAAGTGCATCGAAACATCTTGCCGGCGTGTAAACCGTTTCTCCTCCGCGCATCTCTCTCCTCTCTCCTTCCACCCACACTCTCGTGGACCGATAATCTCGATCAAAAGGATATTAGCGAGCAACGAATTATAGGAATTTCGGCAAATTAGATATCGGGCGAATTGAAGGATTGCATTACTAATTCCCATCGAAATGCCGCTGCGCCGATCCTTATGACGGGATTTATTTTCGAGGCCCGCTGTCACGCGGCGAGACGATCGTGTATATTTTTACTTGCAAACATAATAAAATTAACATACATGACAAACGACGTTCTTAATAAAAACTTAATGCAGTTTTTTTTTTTTTTGCTCGAACAATTGCTCCGATGGTTTTTTTAACTCTTCCGTTCTTATGTTCCAAAGGCACATAAAATGTTTTGTTTTTGGAATTATTTCTTTTGCGAGACACACGACAAAAGAACAAGGAATTAGAATCGCAACATTCAAGTTATTCTTATGACTAATCGCGCGGTCTGCCCTTTTCTTGTCCGATCTCACGATCATCCTGACCGATCCGGCCGTCGCGGCTACACATGGGCCTTCTATTTTGCTCCATGCCAATCTTAATATTATCCTTCGAATTATGGCCCTAATGTTATCCACGATGCGCGTTCCCGCTACACGTACGAGCTATCGAGTCTAATGATCGAGCACGAAATTTGGAGCGGTTTCCGACGCCGCACCGTCAAACTAGTATTAGAAAATACCGTCCGGATTATTTCGCAACTTTTTAAGCAACGGGAAACAACACACACGGGGATTATTTTTAACTCTTATTATGTAATAAGCATCCCGCATATTGCGTTTCTTTCATAACGCACGTCAAAAATACACGAGTCGTTGTCAATTACTTTTTAACAAACGTGTCACTCAAGCGTGAATTTTTTCTCTGCTTCTTCCATCAGCCAGACCGATGGCTTCGTATAATAATTCAGCAAAGTTTACACGCGCGTATACTGAACATATGCTGTGTGCGATTATTTCGCAGCGTCATGGACGGTGAGTCTGCCGTTCGCCGCGAACACGAGACATTGTCACGAGATTTCATCGTCGTAAATCTTCGACGCTATATCGACACGACAAAGTGATGCGAATCACATTCGCCCGCGTTGGCTAGAATGCATTCATATATATCGCAATACGTATCGTGTCGCTCGTAGCCTGTCCTGGCAGGAAGCGTCCGGCTATACACGCCATAACTTGTAGCCGTGTTGTGATAGCGACACTTCATAAACATGGACTGGCGTCATGTCGCGGTGGTACTAACGGTGAGACCCTTTACATCGTCGATCGTTATCCGTCCACGCCGACGAAACATCGACATTGAACGTCTGTTGTGTGTTTACGACCTGTCTTGCATAAAAATGCGCCAAGAACTACGAGCTCGCAGAAGGTTTTTACTTTCATTTATCAGCACACACATTTTTTAATACTCTGACGTTTCTTGTAAAAAACACTAGTTAAATAAATTTGTACAATAATATGAGAAATTAATTTTATATGTTAAATATATTATCAAATAGAATATTGAATATTTATATGTACAATAGTAGTGTATACCAAAGCATTTTCAGTTTTTATTTTTATATGTATAATAAACAGAAACATTATTACAATGTATAGTAACATCATATCACATCCAAATGCATCATAAATAACTTTATTTACTGACCTGCAGTAACAATCACATTGACCCAAACAAGAACCTCAACGAACAATGGATGTGAAGGATTCAATTGCAGGATAATCATTTTTGGCATCCACATGTGATTTCCTCATCGATCGAACAATCCGTATTCTGCATATTTTATTATATTTTTACCTGCGTATAATACAATTTTGCATCATTAATGTATTGTAATAAAAATTTTTACACAATATATTGATTAACTAATAAACACGAAAGAGAGAGTCGCTTCAGTGGTCTATTAAAACATATAATTCGAAATTTGTATCAAAAGATTCTGTGTTTCAAATGTTTGCTTTGATTACGTAAAACTGCATTTATTTTTATTTGACATTTTTTCAGATAAAATGATCTGGATCGCGTTCACGAAAAGATGGCGGAAATGTCAAGGTGTCTCGACTTGTGTACTTTCGTGAAAAGTATATCTACTATACTACGTATTGTTTAACACATAAAACATATTCGATAACGCGTTATACATAAATACAAAAAGCAAGATCTTCTTACTTCTCGAATCGCCGAGGCCGATTTCTACGAAAGGTCGATCCGAGAAATGCTTGAACGCGAAAAACGAAGTCGCAAGTAATGGCCGACGCGGTTACCTATTGTCATACTTTGCGAAGGGATCATTGCAAAAGCGCTGCGCTGTCAGGAAAATTGTATCACAAATACACTGTCGCGTACTGTCACGAAGTGACGCAACGCAAATGTTTGATTAATTAAAGAACATCGAGCAATAACCGAACAACAAAACGATCGAAACGCGTGAAAGGAGCGCGAGGAACGATAAGTGTCGAATTACAGGAAGCGCGAGTGTGAACCACGGCAAACTTCATTGCGTTCGCGGATTGGCGCATTGACCTCGACCAACCCAATTCATCGATTGTTCGAATCGATTTCGGAAGCGCGTGATCTCGCAATAGAAGAATTTTCTTTCGCGAAACTGCATCATCGACGGGGGCGCTCGATCGTTCCCCGGTGGATAAGTAGAAATTCTGCATTCCGCGAATGGCCGGTTGTGACGTCGTCTACGTGCCCGTGTTCGTCTCAAACGTGCGTCCGACACGCGTTAACGCAGCGATATTTATATTTTTGTGTCGGGTGTGTAACGCAGACGTACGAGGTATTGTATTTTCCAAAGAAACCGCGATAAAAGTACGTCGCGCTTGTGGAACGAGTGCAGAGCGCGTTGTTTCGATTCGCGTGGAAACGTGCGTAATGCATATGTGCGGAAAACAATTCCAAACAAGTGTAACGAGATTACGCCGAGCTGGTCGCGGTGCGAATGACAGGAACGTCGTGTTCGTAAGTCACCGAGATTTATTTGCGAGAATGCCAAGTTTTTTCGGCAGGCGATTGCCTCCCCCCCCGGTAACGGGCTTGAGGTTATGTTTTGTGCGGTGCGGTTCGGCGCGGCTGCTTCGCGAGTCGATCGCCGCGCGGCAGCACCGTGCAGTCGGCAGCGCGAATCGATGAGGCGCGGGTTTCAAATTGGCGCGTTTTATTGCAGCAAATTCTCGTGAACTTGTTTCCCGAGAGAAACGCAAGCATCGTGTTGAGCATCGAAACGAAAACTTGATCGCAAAGATATTAAAGTTGCGAGGTATTTTTTTTCATGCATTCGCATAAAATATATATTTAGCAATTAGAATTGTTTTTATTTCTAGTATAGCGCGTTAGGGATTCTATATGCAACAGATTTTTCTTGTATCTTTTTTTTTAGGTTATTTGGCGTAATTAACAACATTAAACTAATAGTCTGAGGTCGGCACTTTGCAACTTTTTTTTATACTGTTGAGGACACTTTTCCAGAGTGTCGGAGCATTCCGGTGATGTTTCGCGATTAATAGTAGCCTCGAAGCCCCGGGTGCAATCTCGACCAGAGCGTCTCCGAGATCGCCCATTAGCCGCGCGTCTAGAATCCGCAAAGCGAGACAACGTCGTAAAAAGGGAGGGACAGTCACGCCGCGGCGCCAAGACGGCTTTGGGCTCGGTTGTCGAGTAGCATCGCGGAGGACGGAACGCTTCTCTCCGAGAAGATGCTCCTCCATTATCGTAATTTGCAAATTTCCTCGGGACCGCGATGAAAAACGACGAGAGGCGCCGTGGTTTCGCGTTCGAAACGCGCGAGAGAGCGGCAGGAACACACGGGCGAGAAGGAAAGAGCGAGGAAGGGAGAAAGACAATCGCGGCTTCCAGGGGTGGAAAGAGAGAGGTGGACGGCAAAACGAGTGTTTGGGGGAGAGGAGGAACAGGAACCACGAAGACGGTGGCGGATTGGCGGCCTCGGGCGCGGTTGCGGATTCTCGGCGTGATGCCGGTGATTCGCGGCTTTGGTGCCCAGTAATCCCGGATCCTCTCTTTCCCGTCCTCCTCCCGTCGTCCGACCATATTCCTCCTCTTGCCGTAGCCCTCTCTCGGTCTTTGATACAGCGGCGACGGCGGCGGCGGCGGCTTCGGTCGTATGCCGGCGGGACAGGGGGCTCAATCTTGCGGTAAATACAGCAATCGCCCGCGATGTGCCGTCCGCATTAATATAATTAGTCACCGCGAGCGAGAGCCCAAGAAAGCGATGCCGGGGAGCAGATTCTCCTTCGCGTCTCTCCGACGATGCACACGCATCGCACGAAAAAATATCGCGCTTAAGTATTTCGGGGGATGTGTATCGGCGGGGAACGTGCGCCCCGGGGCCATCTCCGCGTCTCGTCTATGGCGACAGACGGAGTCACAATCTTCCTCTCGGCCGTTAGCCAATTATGCCACGTATCATGTTCGTACGCACACGCGGCACTCGTTCCACACGATTTTGAAGAGAAAAGATGCCGGAGATAAAATTCGACTGTACTCACGGTGTGTACTAATGCGAAATCTTCTTCGGTTCCAGCATGGCTCCGAAGAAGCCTGAGGAACCCGAGCGGAAACCGCTTATCGGTCGCGTTGGCACCAATTTAAAAATGGGCATCGTCGGGATACCGAATGTAGGAAAATCGACTTTCTTCAACGTTCTCACGAAGAGTCAAGCGGCGGCTGAAAATTTCCCCTTCTGCACCATCGATCCTAATGAAAATAAGTATCTTTATACGTTTGTCTTACAAGCGACTTGACAAGTGGAATTTAAATTTCAACTATCCTTACATAAAACAAACATTTATTTTTTATTCAAGTATTCTTAATACAAAATTGTGCCAAAAAATTTACTTGCACATACAAGCTGATTGATTTTGTTCTTGTACGTTCTTGTAACGAAAATTCTGACACAGTGTATTTAACAATTTCGACTTCGCTTGTTTAACCTTATTATATGTACGATCAAATAACATTCGAATCGTCGAAGTTATTGAAAATTATTTGAAGAAGAATGTGCGACAAAATATTTCCGGCAAAATCGGAACAAGATCAATCAATTAAGGATTATTTTCATTTTATTACACAAATTTCCCGCATACGTGTTGCCCTCAATTATGTATTCGAAGGCCAATTTGTATTACGGTTTTTCCGAAGATATTCACCCGATGAAAAGAATAATCACAGCTTCTGAATTTTTCAAAAGAGAAAAGCCTCAACCGCGTAAAGAATTTATCATTCGAAATCCTTATTCGGAAGACGAAGCTGTAAATCGTCATCTTCAAAGCGACCCACCGAGTTTCATTATTTTTGGAAAACCAGGATTAATTCACAACGACGTGGCGTCAGCAATAGCCGACGCTTGGAATTGTGTTCCAATTTTGCCCGTGTCATTGATTCACCGCGAGATCGGCGTCGGTACCGAAAAAGGTCGTGATATAGAAAGAATTCTGCGACTTGGTAGATCATTGGAACCCGAAGTTGTTATGGATTTGATACGATGCAGGATCAAGATGAGAGACATCAAACACAGAGGCTTCGTCGTTGATTGTTTGCCATTTGTTCCCAATGTGAACTTTGATTATTCATTGTGTTTGACTTTTGATTCAAATGCGCGTCATACTTGTCCAGAATTTTGCGAAAATGCGACGCAATCCGAAACCCTGGAAAACCAGAACACATCCGGTATTTCGAGCTGTAAACGACAATTTGATTACGATCGAGAGATCCCTCGACAGATCGACGAAATATTCACCGCGTGGCCGTTGAAGCCTTTGATTATCATTTACCTGATGTGTCCAAAGCGCGATGTTGCGAGCAAACGTGCGCGCCGACGCGTGGACGTTTTAACGGGTAATGTGTTTGACGAGGACGAAGTTACAACGCGGTTTAATGAGGAATTCGAACACGACGGGTCGCAAATTATCGACGAACGATTAAACGTGAGAAACGATAGGAGATTAGTGAGACAGATATCTGATATGAAGCGCAATATTGAAGCACAGTGTGATTTATACGAGCGATTAGCGTTACCTGTGATCGACAAGTGGATTCTCGCGCACGATCCTCAATGTGTTATTCGCGTCGACGGTCGCGATTCCGCGCAGCGAATACTTCAGAATCTGAAAGCGCGTTTGCACAGTCTTGCGGTGCAACCATCGATTGTTCCAAAGAAAATGATTAACCAGAACGACGCGAATTTTCTCTCTGAAACATCTCCGGGGACGAGTTTCAACAACGAGCTTACGGAAAAGTCCATCGAAGAAGTCCTCGAGATTTTAAAGCAAAGAGACGTTGTATCGTCGAAATTTCCCTGGAGACTTTCCGCGTGGAAGTTTTACTGTCCCGTGGAACTAGCTCAAGGACGAAGCGTTAAGGGGAAACACGCGATACGATTTCTGAGTAGAATCTACTTTCTTTCTTCTCGAGAAACTGAGAATTTGTTCGTCGAGAATCCGAGGTTGTTTTTGTCGCCGCCGAATCCGCGACCGGTCTGCAAAATCGCGGTGTTCGGGCCTAAGTATGCCGGTAAATCGGAACTTTGCGCGCGGCTGGCGGAAGTGTTCGGTGGAACGGTAATAAGTGTAAGTGAGATTGTGAAACACGTAACTGAACAGCGCGAAGATGTTTCCATTCGAAAGGCTGACGCTATTATACGGCGCATCCAAGAAGTACCCGACGAGGAGTTGGAAGATGAACTACGAAGAGATGGCGGATACGTTGTAGACGGTATGTGCACGGACGCCGAAGTCTGGCGAAAAGTTGTCGAAGCTAATATTGCGTTCGAAGACGTCGTTCTCTTGCACGAAGACGAGCCGTACACTTACCTGCTGAATAAATTCCGCACTTTCTCTTATTTTCGCGATTTCGCACAAGAAGCGGAATACGAAGATCACGGAACATCATACCAGGATGCGGAATGGGAGTACTTCGAGCACTTGACACAATTTGAATCGGAGTGGACGAGATTCGAGGAGCAAGTTCCTGAGCTTAGAACAATTGCCATAAAATGTAATCTCTTAGATATCAAAGACGTGGCGGAATACGCGATAAATTATATTAAACGTCGCTTTGGCATCGAAACTTCTATTGATATTGAAAAGAAGGAAGAAGAGAAAATCCTGGAAGAAAATGAAGCACATGAAGTCGATAAAAACGCTGAAAAAGGAGAAAAAAAAGCATATCCCGCGTATATCGATTTTGAAACAGCCGAACGTCTTCTCGATTGCGGCTACTATTTTCTCAGTCCCTTCGGTCGATGGTGTCCGGTGCAAATATACACGGGCAAGATAAACATTCAGATGTTTCTACCTATGAAAGCTCGTGGCCAGATTTTTCCGGTTGTGTGCCCGCCGTATATCTATTTTCTCGCCGGCGAAGAAGCGCTCTCCGCGTTTCTTAACGATCCGTCCAAGTATCTTGAGCGGATTTTCCGTCCGGCGCTTCTTCCGCTTCGAATTTCCATTATCGGGCCACCTAAGTGCGGGAAAACCACACTGGCGAATCGTTTCGCGAAAACGTACGGCATGAAAGTAATTACTCGCGGAAAGGCGTTGCGCCATATGTTGAAATCCTATTCCTGGACCGAATCGGCACGAACGGCCGAAGATCACCTTCGCGCGGGTCGGATTGCTCCGATCGAGTCTGTGACACGCGCCATTGAAATGATCTCTTTAGGATCATCGCGTTCAATAACCCAGGGTTTCGTTCTAGACGGTTGTCCCTCGAATCGCAGAGAAGCCGAGCAACTGATTGTTTTGGGAATACAACCGATGATCGTGATCGATCTTCAAGCGAATTTGGAGTTCTGTCTTCAATGCCTCTCTCGGAACAACAACGATTCAAAGAGACCGCTGAACTTTTCCGCTAGCTTTCTGTCGCAGTGTTACGCGAAATGGCAAACAGACCAGACGAGTTTCCGGGACTGGCTGAAAAGATTCTCGCGAAACGTGGTCCAGCTGGATGCCACCAGAAGCAAGTGGCATGTATGGACCCGCGCTGATCAAGCGGTGCGATCCCGGTTTGCCGACATTGCGCTCTACTCTCGCGAAGCGAACCTGGACAAGGTCCACAGCTTGAAACACATGTGTGTATCGCCCTACGAATTCAGATCGCGGCAAAGTAAGTACGAATTGTACTGTCCCCTGTGTCTGTTTCACGATGACATCCTGAAGACTTCCGGTCGGCTGGTGGATAGTCAGGGAATGGTCCAGTTCAGAGAATATTTTTATTGGATCTGCCCGCGACATATAAACGTTTTCGTTGAAAACCCGTTGCTGCATCTTCCACCGGTTAACACCGCGTTCCTTCCCGACGAGCGACCTCGGAAACTTGAAGAGATAGTCGACGTGGAACACGCTTGCTGGGCGCGACGACTTCGAGGCGGTGGATTCTGTCTGGTGACTTACGTCGACAGTCTGCCGGATCGCACGTTGACGAAAGGCAGGCCCGATTTGGGTGTCATCCTCGAGGATGGAGTGTATCTCTTTTGCAGCGAGGAATGTCGCGAGAAGTTTCTCGCGCGGCACAGCAAATATTCCGAAGCAGATGTCGAACTTCCTCGCGAAGTTCTCGAAGTGCGTTCTCTGCCGGACGTCGAGTTTTTGAAGCAAACGGTGACAAAAGCTCTGATCAAAGCTGTGAATCACGTAGCCGCTCGTCGTCCGAAATTAGTCGGTTTATCAGCTGCTGTTAGCGCAGCAATTTACATTGGCGTTTACTTGAAGATGCACAACGCCGAAGCAAATCCGGTCGAAGTGAATCTTTACGAGGCCGCGAGCAAGCGAATGGCGAAACAGAACAGAATCATAGAGATCGTCACCGACACCATGAAGAAGAAACCGAATTCTCACGTGCAGGCTTTACCAAACTATTCCGTTTAAACATTTGTATTTTAAGTCACTCGTGTAAATCAACATATTTGCTGACATATATTTCATTTACATAAATATTTGCGTGTGTTCGAAACTAACAATTCGCTAATCGCAATCTCGAGAGTTTCAAGCTACGTAATTTTCTTTTCCAGCACGTCGCGTTCCGGTGCCCGACGCGAGGTTCGACTATCTCTGCGACTATTTTAAACCAGCCAGGTAAGAAGATCCGGGAGCGCTTCTAAAATACGTTGACGTCGCGGGTAACAGTGTGCAGCGAGAATAAAAGCATATAGTAGCGCCTAAAGATGCACCCTTGCGAAGGGAAACGAGTCGGAATAACCGAGGACATTTCCATACTTCTTCGCTTTTATTCTCGCAAGACGGTGGGAAGAGGACCGAGGGGGGCCTATCTGCAATGCAGATTGGTCTGAATTCGTCTACGAAACGCGAACGTCCCTACATTCGCCGACGTTACACGTTCTTTATTCGCGTTAGCACGTGATGCCGCATTCTTAACTTGGATAACATCTCAGTGCGGCTGTATAATATTTTTTTTTTTTTTTTCGATAAAATAACCGCTGCAGTGTAGCGCAAACGACCAGTGACAAATATACCGGTTTGAGAACATACGTAGGAGCTGTTACACAAAAGAAGTAAAACAAACTGGACGATATTTGATTTGACGACGGTCGCGTGCGCGATTTTCGTTATCTTTCGAATCGAACGGGGCGGAAAAATCCGCTCTCCCCGATCGCGCGCTTCATGCGCGAACGGCCGAATGTAAATCGTGCTTGTCTTGCGCGGAGATTCGACGGGAATCGAGTCATTGAAAATGCGAAACAGCGCCCGATCAAAGAGCGGCCGATTCATCCGTGCCTCTCGTGCGGCTCTATTATCGTTGGCGCTCTCTCGTCTGTCTGTGTGTCTGTATTCGACCCCGACTACCGGCACGTGTCAGATGATTCGACGATCCGTGATGAAAGCCGGCTAATACACCGTCCCCCCTCGTTCTCCTTTCTCATCCCCGCAGTCAGTCAGTCGCTTCGTCCACTTTCACCGACGCCTCCCTTCAAAGGCTAATTGTTTAATGAGCCCGCTGGCATTAGCATTTAAATACACCTCGTTGTCACTGTCGTCGCCCTCCGTTTCCATTCTGCGCGCGCGTGCATCACGCGTAAGCCTTAATTCGACCTTTAATCGCGAATATCGGTGATCCGTTGCGAGGAAATCGACGCGCGGGCGCGATTCGCTTTTGCAACATCATTTATTTTTATTTGAAACATTTTATTACATTTCTGTCAATAAATCGTTGATAAAGAAAAGTTCGCGAGAGAAAAGTTTTGTTATACGGAGCAGCTGTTATTCAGCTTAATTTTTTTTATTCGTGTATCATCAGTAGATGCGATTTGTAATTAAAAATTCGTTTTCCAGTAAAGTTCCGGCTTTTCTCCATGTGATGGACATCGCCGGACTGGTGAAGGGCGCAGCCGAGGGACAAGGATTGGGAAACAATTTTCTTTCGCACATCGGCGCTTGCGACGGCGTGTTTCATCTCTGTCGTACGTACGCCGCTTATCTTTTTTTGAACGAACGCTTCGTTCAAAGCTTAATTCATTTCCCGCTAATATTGTTTTAATGTCCGCGCTGACGTACGAGCGCGGCGCGCTCTCGTGTACAAACAAACAAATCGCAAAACGAGCGCGTATATTTCCATGGAAGCGTTTCGAGCGTGGAATCGCGATAAGAGGCGATTACAGCGAGGGAGGGAAATTTTCGTTGATGAGATCGGGAGATTAGTTCCCGAGCGCGCGATATTTACCTACTTCGCGCCCGTGGAACACGTGCGATCGCGGATGCGAATTTATTTTTACGATATGCACCACTCGTGTAGCTTACGAGCTGGTTTTACGACCGTCGTTAACTATCTTCCTAGAAGCACATTACATTATTCTTCTTTATGATAATTCAAATCGGCTCTCGTGCTCTCATTTTTTACCGTGCACTTCACACAAGTCCAATTTTCACAAATAGAGCTTGGGAGTGTCATTTGGTAATATTTTTGTCTCATTTTTCACACTTTTAACTTAAAGTACCAACAATTTTTCAATAATTCAAGAATTCGTTTTACAATATTTGCACAGAGCAACGTAATCGTCAATAGAATTCACACCAAGTTTCTCGCATCCATCTCGCAAGAGTCGTAAGAGTCGTTAACTCGCGTGCTTTACGTCGCTATAATGTAACACATAGTAATTCAACAAACGGCTGCTGATTCGTCCAACAGAACGATCGTTAGGTATATATTACATTCGTACTGAAAATAACATTTCGAGGTAGTTTCGTCAGTTAATACGTCTCGGCAGGCTGCCGACAGGTGGTAATTTTTTCAATTAAACCAACCTGGCAATTTTCGCGTGGCGGGTGGCGGCGGTTCGCTTAAATAGTCGACATGCGAGCTTCGCGTCGAGGCGAGAGAGGGTTACTTGTAAACGCGGCTCCAATCTCGAGCTACGTATTTTTTTTTTTTTTCCTGTACTTTCTCGCTCCGCGTATACGAAAATCCATTCGATCGTGTTCGTCAGGTGCCTTCGAGGATGACGACGTTACCCATGTGGAGGGTGACGTCAATCCCGTGAGAGATCTCGATATCATTAGCGAGGAGCTACGACTGAAGGATGTGGAGTTCTTGAATGCGCATCTTGAGAAACTCGAAAAGCTTGTAATTCGTGGCAACGACAAAAAGCTGAAACCCGAATATGTAAGTATTTTATATTTCAGTAAAAATATACTTTTTTTTTATTAAGAAAATATATCATTTCTATAAAAATATAGGTTCTTGGGATCCAAATTTATTTATTGCGAAATATCAACGTTATCGTTTACAAAACATGTTATTTTGCACAATATACACAGAAGAAACATTGAGTACTCTATTATAGCAATTTTGTATGGGACAAAAAAAAAGGCTATTCTCAACGGCGATAACGCGAAATCGACCTATTTTTATCGATGCGTAAACAAGTGTTTAAGAATATTAAACACTTCTGCGAATAAGATATCGCGCCAAGTTTGTGTATCACGCGATTTAATCGTTTATCTTACTTTCTTTACAACATGCTGTATTGGTTATTCATTGAAACTTGTTTGCCCGAGTCACACAGATATATCTTCGTGTATGTATATCTTTCGATATGATTTCGATAATGTTTTTCAAAGGACAAATCAATTTCGATAATCGAGCCTTAACATTTTTGTATCGCCCACAATCTCTCTGAGACCAATGTTTTCACATTTCGTTTCTTCGACACGATCGATCTTCGTACACAACGTTGAAACGAATGTGCAACCAAGTACACCACAGTCTTCTTTGTCAGACGAAGCAACGAAATTACTGAAGAAATTAAGAGAACGCGGGCGAAGCAAGAAAGCTTCCTGGAACGAGTCGATCGTCGGATTACCCTCCTTCCGCGGATTGACCCACGGCAATTACTGATCGCCCCCTCATTTCCGACTTTGCAATTTGGCAAAAGTTTTTCGGGAATTCGAAGCCTCGTACCTCGCCTCGTCTCCTCTCGACGAGAATAATGGGACCCGTGCGCGCAGCCAATATAGCACGATCCTCTAATCACAATTCTATCGCGAAATTATCTCAAGTCGATGATTCGCATTTCCGTGCCGACTGCCAGACGAAATCGATAAAATGACGAAGAAGTCCTTTGCCGCGGATTAATCGCCGTGAAAGCTGTTGCGTAATAAGACCGTTCTTGGAAATTAAATGAAAGATATCGATTTATTCTTATGTCGCAGGACACGCTTCTGAAGGTGAAGAGCGTTCTAATGGACGAAAAAAAACACATCAGGTTCGCCGACTGGAGTGCCAATGATGTGAGTTTACGATTTTTCGTCGAAATCATTTTTTTTTCTTAGCCCAGACTCTCGGTGTAATGATGTTACGTTTCACCAACTTCCAGATCGAAGTACTCAACAAATATCTGTTCCTTACGTCAAAACCAATTATCTACTTGGTGAATTTGTCGGAGAAAGATTACATACGCAAAAAGAACAAGTGGTACGCAACTCAAGATTAAAAATGACAAACAAATTCCTTCGAGAAAACAATTGCGTCAGTTTGTGTGAATTTGTTTTCTCGATATTTTTTCAACAGGTTAATCAAAATAAAAGAATGGGTCGACAAGAACGATCCAGGCGCAATATTAATTCCCTTCAGCGGCGTTTTCGAAAACAAGATTCTCGACATGGACGAAGCGGAGCGCACGAAATACTTCGAGGAACACAAAGTCACCAGGTTGGTATCTCAGCTTCGTCGCGCTGCAGCGATTATTATCTTTACGCTCTAAATGTTTTGCAGCTTTATACGGCGGTTCGTTGTGTCGCGCGCTCGCAAAATAAGAGGGTTCTTTCGCGCGTTCGCTTCGCGCCACCTTAAAACTTAGAGAGATTCGGCCTAAGCCGCGCGCGGTTCTCGTTGACGGCTCTCTCGACGACGAAGCGCCGTAAGATTGCAGGGGAAAAGGTCGGACGTTCATAAAATTCGGCGAACGCGTCTCCTCCCTGACTGAGTTCTCTCGGGTTCCCACATTTAGTTATGCACCGAGTTATTCTCTAACGGTAATAATAATGGTGCGGGACTCGGTCTCGGTGTCTAGACCTCCGTTCTCCGCTCTCGCCACCACCGCGAGACGGCTAATAAAAATCACGGCTGTGTTTCGACGCGGCGCATTATATTTTTTTACGAACGGCTATTCAAATTCTTGCAAAATTGCATAAAAACCCCTCCCGCCCTCGCGGGCACGCTGGTATAATCGAGGTGGTGGGTGGAGCGAAAAGTAATCGGCGGTGGTTCGGTAATTCGATTGGTCTGTGTGGGTCATTCGTACCCCAGGGCGCGCGGAGGTACGTTGCACACGCGCGCAAACTCAACTCGCTTTGCCAAAATGAATTTTATGATCCTCGTTATCTTAATTAGACCGTAATTCAATTACGCTGTAGTAAAAACAATATGCAAAACTTTTATTTTACTTACAGAACACTCAAGTGTAGACGTTTTACCGAAACAATAAAAACACATGAAGAGAAACAGTCATCATTAGACGAAACAAAGGAAGCATAGAATTTAATTTTTTTCTGCGGTATTCATTATGTTTGCTCCGCTTTTCGCGGGAGAGGACAGCGCGTTTAGATAGTTTACTCTAATAATCGGGGGATGCAAACGAAGGGTCGAAAGACACCGTGATTTTATTTCGAGAGACCGCAGATAACCGAGGCGCTGAGGAAAGAGCTCCCAGAGAAGAGAGAGTCGGAATGATAAAATTGCGGCATTAAGTCGTTCAGCTTTATGTGTATTCTCTGAACTCTTGGATTTTCGTAGGCCCACCGCGCGCGTTGGACGGTTCTACTTGCCTTTAACCTGTCATTAGACGATATTCGGCTCGAGACAATCATTTCACAATGCGCCGCTCACCGGTCACCTTTTGTTTCGGACCGGGGAGAACGTTTTTTTCATGATTCGCGAAAGACTAGAGACCGCGCACACTGCTCTGTTGCCGATAACGAAGAAACAGCCGATCTTATTTTTCTTCTTTGATTTTTTTTTTATAGCGCACTTGACAAAATTATTGTACAAGGATACAAAGCGCTGCAACTGCAATACTTCTTCACGGCCGGACACGATGAAGTTAAGGCGTGGACAATTCAAGTGAGTAACAGAACGATTTTTACAAAATAATTATGTGTAATAATGTACTTGTCTTTATGTAGAGAGGCACGAAAGCACCTCAAGCTGCCGGAAAAATACACACGGACTTTGAAAAGGGATTTATTATGGCGGAAGTAATGAAATTCGATGACTTCAAAAACGAGGGTTCGGAAGCTGCGGTAAAGGTATTCGAGAAACAATTTTAGTGTATGTCTCGGTGTACATGTGTATTTTCACATATACATATTGCGTAACGTTTTTTTTTTTTTTTTATCTTGTTGTTAGGCCGCAGGAAAGTACAGACAACAAGGACGTAATTATATAGTCGAGGATGGCGATATTATCTTTTTCAAGTTCAACGCAGGTGCCGGGTTGAAAGACGCGAAGAAGAAGTGATGGCACGCATCTCTCATGTTGTTGCTCGTCTATCTATACATCAACATGATTCTGCTATCCTGCTGCACGCATCATCCGCGCGTTAATAATCAATCCAATTCGCTTTCGCATCGTCCCTGATTTGTTCGTATAATAACAATACAAATATCGATAATTATTTTTATATTACTTTTTTGCAGAAATCACATAGAAAAAGAGAGAGAGAGAGAGAGAGCGACGTAATTGTGTTATAATATTGTTTGTATTTATCTCTCTAAACGTTTTCTGGTCTCGAATCACACTTTTATGAGAATCGACGCACTTAATTTCCAGAAATGTTTTTTTTAGCGAATAATGCAATGTCAGTACAGAACAAACGCAGTGTGTTAACGTTTGGAGTGCTGTGTATGTACATAAACTACGTAATTAATAGCAGATTTCTTAGATCACATTCTGCATTTCTCAGTTTTGATAATATGTTGTGAAAATATGTGCGAACAAGAGAGAGAGAGAGAGAGAGAGGAAAACGGAAAAAATGTGTACGTAATTTCTTTCTGTGTGCATTTAATTCAACAAATATTATGTTAGGCGTGAAAATTAGGAGAATTTCGTAATTTTCGAATTGCATTCTGTTGTGCGACGATGGTAAAAGGCGAGTATATGCGTGTGATGATTGATCTTCGACGTAGGATGGTATCTGTAGTTATGCAATCAATCTTTAGATCGGTAATATATGAAATTTTCACTTTTCTGAAATCTCGTATATATTTCAAAGAACTCAAAATTGTTTAAACGTCTAAAGATCTTTTTAAGACGGTGATTTTTAACAACGCGTGTTGTTTGGAATTGTTTAATGTAAACATTTCACACACCAGAACTACCGAGATTTTGTTTTAATCCTTTTAATGAAGGATATTGCAATGCGCGATTGGTGTTATCTGATATCTATCTTTGAGTAGTTCCGGTTTAACAATTTCTACGGAACAACACGCATTGTCAGCCATTGTTGAAAGTCTTGTTGAGAAGTCGAGACTTTAGCCATTGATAAAATTCCACTTCTTGGACAAGTGCTTTTCTCAAATAATCGTTTGTAATTTGTGGCTTTAAAGGTATCGAAGATGTAGACTGATGCTTCTTTTTTGGTCCTATATGAGAAAAAAAATACAAACAAATATAGGAACGCTCAATCAAGAAGAAATATTATTAGAACTATTTATACGAGTACTTACGTAACTGGTTATAAATATGAATGGCACCCTTGAAAAAATAAGGAAACTCAACTGCAAGCGCGTTCAACGACTCCTCCATGTAATCCAATATGCCAACAACCGGATACCATCGAATAACATTTGTTTTAGCTCGTTCCAACGCCCACCTGTTATTTCTCTCCCTGGAAGAAAACGTGTGCAACATAGAAATCAACAGCGGTTCTAAGTTTGTGCAAAAATATTTAGTCTTCATTGTTGCAAGAAACGTTCCGTTTCTCGCTCACACGATGACGTATCTTGTAAAAGTGTCATTCGCTTGTAATAACAGCGAAAAGCGTTACTCACGCACAACGTGGTTCCTGACCACAAAAGTGAGATATAACTCCGCCATAAAACATTTCTTCTTCTCCTTCTTCATATCTGAATCAAATCAATACAAGATAATGTGTAATTTTTATATATACTATTTTTACACATACTACTCTCAGTATAATTTGTACAAAAAAACATAAAGGCGTTACATACTTTTGCCAAATTCGTGGATCCGTAGGATCTCTGACTAAAGATACGAAACTCGGGCCTTGTCGTCCGAATTTCGAGAAATTCAGGAACTTTACGTCTCCGTCGAAAGTTAACGGGATAGCTTCTTGTCTGATAATACTCGTAATTTCTTCTACTAACGACTCCTGTGTCACAAAAATCAGGATGTATCTTAATAGTATTGAGATGTAAATTTTATTAATTAGAAGTTAATCTTTTTTTCTTTTTTTTTTTTTTTTGCTAAACTCACTTGTTGCAGAGTCGATAAGAATCCGTGATTACCCGGCGGCAAACGTATGTGTTTGAAAGCATTATAACCCTGTAAACGTTGCAGGACCAACACTAGCAATTCGGCGCCTGTGTCAGGTATGCGTGTTAACATGAGAACATGCTTGTACCTGTGCGGCAAATCTCCCAATTCAGCGAGGGAAGGTGTGACATGACGATGCGTCTGTTTGATACATAATTATAAGAATATATTGATTATGTAAATATTACATATGTTTCATATATTTACACACACGTGTTATAATTCATGACGCAAGTAAGTAAATTAACATCTTGCTTTGAAAGTGGTAGATATTGTTATTTGAGAATACCTTGTTATTTGTTAAATATTTATTTTAGTTTTTCAGTAAAAAAACAAATGAAACGCGCTATTAACTTCTACTTCAAGTTTGAACAAGTTTGAAATTGTCCTGTGCGATAGTGATTTTCCGCGATGTTTGCGATAACGCGAAACGCGATAATCCTTTCGCTGCATCGTCACATCTCGCACTCGGAGACTGCATGCTATTACGTAAGCACAAGTCAGCTATTCAGCACATTCCTGCTCCAAAGCAGGATTTGTTGTTCCAGAATGTTTGATACTTAAACCGAGGTAAAATTTTTTTAACGCGCGTGAACAATGTGGAAAATATGCGGAATATAATTACATTTTATTTTTTGAGAATTATGTAACGAGTATATTTTTCACCGCGACAAGATTTGCTTATTTTTGTAACAGATACAAAACTATTAATTTACAAGATCAATGAAATGTAGCTTCACACCTGATCGCGAGCAACCCGTCTAAAGTTTTCGCGCTGCTCTTTCGGTTTCTTTGACAAATTGCGCTTTTCGGTAATGCTGCTCGCGGCTTCGAACAATTCCGTAGACGATCTCGCGTTCAAAACGACGCAGACTGTTGTCAAGCACGTCAATAGCAACAATAAAAAACCGCGATTTCGACGCATTTCTCGAAAATCGTAAGTAGATATTGTTTTCCGATATGTGAATTTTGTTCGTGGATTTTTCTTTGCGGGTAAAAGTTGACACACTCGAGTTATTGAAACTACTGTCTGTCGAACAAGTAAGGAGAAATGTTAGTGGGTCAGACTCTCTGTGATCCCCACATCTTTTACCTTCGACTCCCCACCGACTGACTTATTCGGTGAAACGCAACATTCACATTTCACTTTCTAATGCACACATCTCGTCTTCGTGAATAACTAATGTGTATCTATTTCAATTGCAAGATAAAGATTCTATATGTTATAACCTAAAATTATTTTCCGATTTATTCCAATAGTTTAATCGAATAATATTAAACATTTTTTTTTGTAATTACAATGGGATATATATTATAATTCTGCTTATTCGAGATGTTAGGGTTCTTTTAAATCTACTCATTGTAATAAAAAAATAATACGCGTGTAGTAAAAATATTTTATTACGTACAACATAAAGTTATAATTTATATTTTATTGTAAAATTTATCCTATAACTCGTGTGCGCGATTGGTCGCACACTTTATATCGAAGATCTCGTCATCACAAAAAAAAAGATTTTTAAAAGATCTTTAAATTTTAAATCCTCGTGTGCAAAAGCGTCTGCTAGCTCTCCGCGTTACTGAACATGCGCGGAGTTTCTCTCCGAGACCGGCCGGTGAGGTGGCGCGGCGGTCCACGTGTTGTATGCGCTTCTCGCGATCCTTTTCGCGACGGGTCTATTTGTAAACACGGCATACGCAACGTAAGATGGACGTGAAGTACAATTCTCGCAAGCAAGACTGGGAGAATTTGGAGATTTCGCGAGAGGAGTTGGAGACGATAACCGATAACCTGAAAAAGGACGAATTTCGCAAATTGCTGATCGAATACGCGGAGGAGGTGTCCAATCCGGAGAACCGTAGAATCTACGAGAGAGAGATCGCCCAGCTCGAGAAGGAGCGGGGCGTAGACGTGACGTTCGTTAACCCCGAGCCCGGTTACGTCATAAAAACTAGCGTAAACGGCGACCGGAAGTGTTTCCTTAATATCAGTAAGAACGAAATTGTCGCCCGTCCCTCCAGCGCTCCTTCGTACGAACAAGGTCATCGTGGTCTGCAGTGGTCGATTCCGTACACGCTGATACCCCCTCGCGATGACCTTGACAAAAAGAACGTGCGATGCGTGGTGTTCGACGTGGTCTTTCATCCGGACACCATCTACCTGGCGTCCAAGAACGCTCGTTTCCGCGAAATTGTCAACAACACAGCGATGGACGGCGTGGAGAATAATTTCAAGGTTTCTTTACTCATTTAGTTAACGTTGTTTTTCTTTTTTATTAGCTTGTAGTAGTTGCCATGTGATTTTTATTCATTCTTCTAGGTGAAATTGGACAGGAAGAACCTGAAGTTTCCCAAGATGACCTTCAAAGGGGTATGTCAACCCACGGTGATCAGGAAGCCCTCAAAAGAACCACCGAAGGAGCCGTTAGATATCGAACCAGAGATCTATCAAAAAATAATGGCAAATTACGATGAAAGTCGCGAAAAGCACTCGAGGCAGATGGAGGAGAAACCGCAGCGTGTCCCGCCAGTCGCTACCTATTATAAGAACAGGCAAGAAACATCTATTAATGAAAAATATGTCACTCCCAAGTTTTCCATAAAACATCAATCCGATGTGGATATGGAAGACTTTATGTTGAGTAAAGATGCCAAGATGTATGCTGCAATTCCTAAGAAATTAGTGATCACCATAGATCTGCCCTTGTTGAGGATTGCGAGTGACGCAACACTCGATATACACGAACGGTCTCTCACTTTGAAAAGTGAGAAACCCGCAAAGTATCTGTTGGATCTGCCATTACCATATCCTGTAGACGGTGATAATGGAAATGCTAAATTTGATCCAAAGTATAAGAAGTTAGTTGTAACCTTACCAGTTGTACGGCAATTGGTATCAGCGGATACAACAGCAGACAACAGGATTGAAGGTGATCAAAACGGTTTTGCAACATCTAAAGATGGAGAAGAAAAATTAGTCGGCGACAACATAGAATTAGTGAAGGAGTGTGAAAGCGTTTGTGACAATGTAGAGCCCGATAAAGCTAGTAACGCGATAGAAAAGTGTAAAGATACAGCCTTACGGACTAGTAACATTATAGAAAACGCGGACACATTTATGAATTCTAATGTTAAGTACAATCTTCCTCCGTATGTTTGTAACATTTACAATAATCAGTTGGCCGTTACAATTAATGTAAAGAACGTGAATCACGACGAGATACATCACAAAATTCTAAATGACAATGTAGGGATACATATCTTGCTGACATCCGTGGGTGCTGGATTTTTCCCACAATATTATTCATTGTGTCTTAAGTTGGTAGATGCTTACATTGATCCGGAAACTCTCATAATTGAGCCGTGGGACAATAATGTTATATTCAATGTCACTGTGAAGGGCATTGAGAATGCGACGCAATATTTTGTTGGAGTAAACACAGAACTGATGGAAGGGAAAGATCTTCCTACAGCAGCTTCGTTTAGAAATAAATTTAAAGAATTGATGGTAAAACATTTAAATATGTCGTTTTATTTGTAAAACCTATAAGATTTGATTGCGTCACGTATGTAACGTACGAACTGTTTTCACAGGCTTCTCCGGAAGACGAGCCGCAAAGGGAAAGACAAATATCTGTACAACCGCAGGGTGATGGCGTTGTTATAGATATTCGTTCGAACCAGCAGGATTCTGACGATGAGGAAGAACAGGAAAGTACGAAAGTCGCGACGGAACAATCGGAGAATAAGGACGACGAGAAGGCCAGATCAATCTCGGAAAGCAGCGGGGACGAATTGGCGAGCAGCAACGGTAGTGCGAGGCACTCGAAAGGAATATTGAAGTCGCATAGGGCGCGCAATTTTGCTCGTTCCGTGTCCGAGTCGAGCGCCGAAGAAAATAGTCTTCCAGCATCGTGCACAGATTACCACTACGATTCCGTGCACGACGTTAACTCCGAATCTGATTGTTCCAGCTTGAAAAAGACCGTGCGATTCAACGATGTGGTTTCGCGTCAATTATTCAGGTACCACATTGCACAGCAATTATTTTGTAATCGCTAACTCGATTTCGCTCATGTAACTTGATTATCGTTTTTTCTAGATCTAATTCGAGTATTCTCGGACAGCGTAAGAAGAATCAGCGTAAACTGCGGAATAAGAAGCGCGCGCACGAACGACGTTTGAGCGAGAGCGAGAATTCGGAAACCGAGGAGCGGGACAAGTACAAGGCGCATTATAAACGTCCGTCGAGCAGCGAGGAAACCTCGGAAAACGTGAAACCTATACTCGCTCGGGACAAGCATTCGCCGCAACAAAAAACCGCTAACATTGAGATCGCGAAATCGAACGGCGACGACGTCCACAGACGTAAATCTTCGTTCGAGGAAAAACCTACGGAAGATGCCGACGCGTTGATTAAAGCGAAAGATACGGTTCAACTGGAATTTAAGAACGATCTGATATTTGACCTCGATATGTAGATTTAAAGGTGCAAAGAAAAAAAAATAGGCTAATGAAAGCACCGCACGATGTGATTAGCGATTAGTCTGTGCGTAACTGAGCACGATTTGATAATTTGGTAACTTTGATAAAAAGAGATCGATACTGATATCAAACTCGCATATAAAGTTTGTTATTTTAAGGTATAGAATGTCAAAAAGATTTATTTAGAGAATGATATGTGTACATTATAATATCTTAGTGCTTTGTTTTGCTGTAAAGGGGCAGATAATATTTAAACAAGCATTATAGAACGCGAGTCGAAAATAATCGCTTTATCCTCGATGAGAGAAAAGAAGACAAGTTTACTTAATATAAAAGTTACACACTCATTGAAAATGAGGAAATAATGCAATAAGTAAATTGATGATATATCGATTGTGATAATTTTAATCCGAGATTTCGATCGCGATTGTGTATAATCCGATGAAAATAGAACGATATATTTTATTAATCGGCTGATATTTAAAAGAGTCATCTAAAAAACAAAAGAAAATCTATAAAAGAGATATACAAAAGTGTGTTAATATATTTGTACACAAAAAGTTTATCCGTCTGAATTTGAAAATTTATGAGACTCCGGCGAAGCGTTTATCTGCGCAAATACAGTTTTTACGATCCATTCCTATATTGTGTATATTGCATTTTAAGTATATTTACTAATGATATCTATACAAAAGAGCCATTATGTACGTTTACGTCGCTATGTATATCATTGTAATAGCATGATGACACACAGAACACGGAATAAATATTCAAATACAAATTGTTTTTATAGAAGATATCATATGTCAAGATACGTATTTTTTGTATGTTTTGTGTGTTTTTATGTATGTTTTTATATATGTTTTGTATTTTATGATTTATTTTTTTTGTTTGTGCTGTTGCCACTTACAATCAATGTACTCAAATGCGAAAATAATTTTTATTTATTTCGGTCAATATCTCTATCTCTCTCTTTCATATCTGAGACAACATTAACGACTCTCGCAACACGAATCTTCCAATAGGAGCTACAACGAGGTGACGGCGCGAACGTGATCGAAAAGTAGGGCACAGCCCGCAGCGGAAACAACCGGGCCGCGCACCGAGCTGCGGATGAGAGAGTTCGCCTCGAAGTTCGAAACCATCGATCTCCGCCACTTGCAAGGGTTTAAGGTCGTTAAACCCCCGCAGTCTACCTGTATATCTTTCGCCCCGTTCCGTGTTTTATTTCCATGATGTCCCATTATATATAGGAGAGCGGCAGCAACGCACGCGACTGCGGCGTTCCAATTCATCGTCATTCGCGATAGCTCGGCCCGCAATTAAATTACACGCTGTTATGCAATAACGACGAGACGACACAACAAGAGGGACATTCTTCGAGAAGCGAATGGCTCTTGATACGAACACTCGATAGATCCGAGACTGTAATGAGTCACATGACAAAAAGCATTTTTTCTTCTTATTTATCTAAATATTTCTTTTCTAATTTTTTGTTCGACTAACTAGCTAAATTTCGTCAATATGCGGTAATAAACATATGTAAATTACTTTTTTCGAGAACGCGGATCGAAGCCTGAGAGAGAGAGGGTGTTTGTCAAACGGGTCGGAAGAATAAACAAAGGGCATCGAGATGGAAATCAATTTCTGAATACTTCGATACAAACACGTGATTGGAATGCGCGGGTGGTAAGCCTGTGAGGGTACCGGTACCAGGTCGATAAGTCGTCCACCCTTTAAGGTTCAGAAAGCTGGTGGCCTGTGCCGTGATGAGGGTGCACGATGGCTGGGGGTGGCAAGCGAAGGGAAGGAATGGACGGAAGAGAGATAGAGAGAGAATGCACGTACCCCGCGTGCCGCGGTTACGGCCGGCACGACATCGGCAATGCGGCAGCCGACGGCAACGTTTAATGTCGCTCGGCCAGTCATTGCACCTGGCACCATTTGCGAGCACAGGTGGATACGGCGCGCGGGGGTGGCGTGCGATATTAAGGACGCGAGAGCGCGCTCGTCGGGCCGCGTAACACGGTTTCGAGATTGGGCACACGGCAATATCGATGGATCGCGCTAACGAAGATAAAGACTGATGGCGAACGATCGTGCCACGAGGGCTTATCTGTGACACACCGCTCGAGAACAGCGAGAGTTGCGATAACGAGGAGCGATATACGGCCGGGGCAAAAACGTTATCCACCTTGAGAGATAGAAAAGTATTCGATTCTTCTTAAAAAGCACTTTGTCGCACAGAATCACAAAAGTTGATCGTGTAATCTTCTTCTCGTGAAAAATAAAACGAAATTTTCTTTTATTGACTCCCGCATATGTAGCCTCTGCGCGATTTATTGATATGGCCAATAAAAGCGCAAAGAGAACAGTGAAAGGAATTCAAGTTTATTAAATTTTTGTTTGAATTTATGTGAAATTAAATACGTGGTCGTTAGAGCGAAACAATTCGCGTTTCGGCGAAGCCAAATTAATTGTCAGTGTTGTGAAAAAAAATTCCGTCGGTCACAACAGCGCTTGGATTTATGATTTAAGCTCGAGACATTTTTGCGCGACGATCTTGCGAGTTTGCGGTTTACTCGTTAGTCTAATTAAAAAGTAGCGGGAAACAAATTTATTAACTCTCCGTGATATACATATATACGCGGAAGCAGAATGCGATGTCGCCGCACACTTCTGATATAATTTAGCAATAACTCTCTTTCGGTGAAATCGCGTTTAATACACAATTTAAATGTTTTAAATACCGCCCACGCCGAAGCGCGATTCCGCGCTTTATGTTGAAGTACACGCGCATGTGCAATCATTATGCGAGTTGTAAAATTTATATTTTATATTTATATGAGATTTATTGTCACATGTTTGTTGTGGAAAGAAGAGCGCAAATCTCGCGTCCTGATTTCGTGCGCGAACACAATTTACCCGTATGATAATTTCGGTTCCCGTTATTATTAAATTTTTCTTTTCCGAGATTTTCCACGCACACTTTCTTATACGACTTCTTCTTTTTTACATCTCTCCGTTTTCACTTGAATAATGTATAAGTTTCCGGCGTATCTGTTCGGATTACCGCCTCGGCAACTTGAAATTTATGACACATATGTTTCCTACAGCGCGAAGTTTTATATGTTCTAAAATAAGAATCTCTTTTTCTATGAGAATATTATGATGTCTTTGGTTGAGAATATTTTCCACATTTGCACCGTAACTGCTTGACAACTCACAATTGCCGATACAGATATTTTCCTTTTTACAAACGTTTTATTGACAATAAGTGACACATCATGATATTTTCTAAAATGTATTTTAACAATTGATAATAATGTCTTGATACATCTAGCGATTGCGGAAGTTACGACAATAGATACAATAAAAAAAAATTTTACCGTTGTTATAAAGAAGCGAAAATGAAAAAATGTGAAGAAATGAAGAAGAGAAAGAGAAAAGAGGGAAGGGAGCGCAAGTAAAGCAACGACATCGCAAGGGAACGGAACTCGTTGCTATTGCAATTCGGCGCCAATTTTTATTTGTTTGAGACTTATGAACAGTGACAGCGCGCGTGAGCGTTACGCGTTTCACGTCTCGTTTCTCGTTCCTGCCTCATTTTCATTTTTGCATCTTCGTCCACAGAGACGTTCTCTCGAAGTAGCGAAGTATCGATTATGTAGACTCCGCACTGTGCTTGTACGTACATACATACGTGGTGTGCGTCCCGTCCAGATAACCCACTGACACTGGCAGTTCTCCCATAGTTTGCACAAACTTTTTTTTCTTCGGCCGATGTTCGGTGTTACAAAAAAAAGTTTTGTTTTTACCAAAAAGTGTCCGAATTTTTGTTTAATTAAAATTACCGTTTAATTGAATACGCGTAAAAAAATCCAATGTAAAAGAAATGCTTGCGAGTGGCATTTTGTTCGAAAGACGCCGAATTCCAATTGCGATTGAGGTATTTTTGTCTGGCAATTATATCGCGAGATGAAAAAAGTTCGATATGTGAATTCAGCCGTGTTTACTCTTTTTATTGCAATATTCTGTGATATTTTTAGCCTTTTTCAGCGGCTCTCTTTGGTAATTATCACGAAGAGTATTAGAATAAAAAATAAAAAAAAAATTAAAAAAAAAAATGTCGAAGCACGAAAACGCGAACGAGGTAGTTGCAGCGAAATTAGTGCAGCCGTTCACCTTATCGCTTTCAACGTAATCCCTCCGCAAAGCACGGACACACACAAGCGTGTGTGCCGATATCGCGGGTGGCGCGACACTCTCTCCGCGCTTCGGAAACGCAGCTTTTAAAATTAGGTCGCAGCTTTGTAATCGCGAATAGCCGAAGGTGGTATTCTTAGAATCGCTTGTGTATGCGCGAGAAATTGTGTTTGTGTGTGTGTGTGTATGTATGCACGTACGTGTGCGGCAGTTGCTTCTTAAAAATTCTATTCAACATATCCGTCGACGTGACAGCACCCGATGATGCATCACTCTTCGAGCGACGTAAGAGAGGCGACGACCCGATAGATAAACATCCACAATTCTGGGGGTAACGACACGCTAGAAGAGAGAGAGAGAGAGAGAGAGAGACGACCTGCCATCGTTCTTGATTAACCCGAATGTCCCGATTCCATTTCCGCCGGACGGATATCGCGCGATGCGCTTCTTCATCGGGGTTCGGGGACGTGCGGTTCCCATCGATATAAGAAAACTTATGAATCTTTGATCTAGAAATTTGTTCACACTCGCGTGAGGTAACTATATACCGTGAACTCGATATAAACGTCATTTCAATTTTTATCCGATCTCTCTGCGCGTCGTCTAATTTTGTACGTATTTTTTCAGGAATTCTCACCGCGGTGTAAAAATGAAAAATTATCGTGTTATATGTGGCGCAAAAAAAAAAAAAAAAAAAATGAGTCCAGCTTTGTGAACGTTTTCTGCGACGATCTATATCGGGAACGCTTGCAGATTGCGCCGACCTGTTCATGAAGGACTAGCACGCGAATACAGTCATCGACCCTTCTCGGCTATGAGCCGCGGTATACAATACCATCAAACTGACCTGCAGCAACGCTTTATTCAATATAGACCCCGATGCGGCACGCCGCGGCGCAGGACGCGGCTTCCTATTCACGAAAAAGTCGATTCACCCCCCGGCTGTGAATGTTCCTTCGTACGCGAGTAATCTCGTCTCGCTTCCTATGCAGTAAGTTTGAGAGATTCATTTCCGTCAAATACGTTAAAAACTTTCGTCGCAACTGTGTCTGATTTTCTTTTCTTCCTACACTTATAGATATTATTCCCTTCAACATACTTCGCTCGATTTGTTCGAAAGTAATCTCGTACTTCACGCTCGTGACAAAGGTTCGTAAAAAAGCACGTTGTAAAAAAAGAAGACACGAACGAGAATCGAGCAAAATAAATCGAGTAAAATAAATTTGACTCATGACATATATTCCCTTTGCGGAGCGAGCAAAATTGTGTTTGACCGGACTGACGTCGCGCAATAACGCGAACGAAATAACACGACGAGTTACCTCTAACATACACCACGTGTTTAGGAAAAACAACTGTCTTCCCGACAATCTGTCACGTGACAAAATTTCCGGTTTTAGACCGGTGGTATAATTCTCGTTTATGTCATTTCCACGCTGCGTCTGTAATCCGAGAGGGAGCTTTTACGAGGAGGGTAATGTCTCTTCGCGAGATGAGAAAATATTTGTCTATTCGACAAGATTAACAAACGATCCGCGAACGAGAGAGGGAGGCTAGTTGTTTTGCTTGACTTGGACTATCTTTTTATCAGAGAATCCACTTGATTTGAAAAAAAAATCCGAGTGTCAAACTGCCGACTGTGGAGTAATGATCGTATCAGATTTTTGAGACACGCGCATGCGCGCGCTCACCGAGGGGATGATAAGCGCGCGCTCACGCACGCACAACCCCCACAGCGGTTGGCGACGGCGAACGCACGGCGAGCCGAGCGGGGTGTCGCGGGGTGTGCACAGTTATCGGTGGTACGTGGTCGGCGGCGGTGGCGGTGTTTCACCTGTACGTGTGTCGGGCGTGCGCGCGCGGCTGTGTACGCGAGTGTGTGTTAACCTCCCTACGTTTTACCACATGTTGCGCTCGGTCGGGCGAGGGGCGCAAGTCAGCCAGGAGCCCGGGCCATCAGGATAAAATCTCTCCCCTCGGCTCGGTCAGTTACGCGATCGCAAGCGAACGACTCGCACACGGTTGGCGTGCGCCTCGAGCTGTGCCACCGCTGCTCACCGTGGTTGTCGATTCAGTGTTGCGCCGAGTGCATCGAACCGACAGACGAGAGCACGGGGTTGTTTCTTCTTAATCAAAGAGGGATTCGAGAGAGATCGGCGTCGACCGACACACGATTGACAAGGTCGCGGTATGTATCGTGAGAAAAAGAATCCGTTTCCAGTTCCGAGTTCCTGCGCGTCTACGCGCGCGTCGCGAAGGAACGCAGGAACTCGGAAATGTATATGTACATATTCCTCACATTATTCGAGAGCTTTTCCATCTTTTAGATACACAATTGTGTGAAAAAAAAATTATTTGCCGTTTGAAGAACGATAATATTGTAATGTTTTTTTCTAAGTTAACTAAAATTGAGCGAGTCTAAAAAAGACCGATTTTTAAAAAAATTGTCAAATAAGATATTTTTTGTTTAAACTGCACCATGTATAATGCACATCGTCTATACATTCTTGCGAAATAGTGCTGGCTCTTTCGCGAGTTCGCAAACAACCTGTTGGCGAACGAAAACCATCTTGGAACGGGAAGAACAAGTGGTCCTTATGTTGTCGTAACGTCGTAGTATTTGCATGAAATAAAATAGTATTATTTCGGTGGAAGCAATCCAAACAGATTAAAATCCTTCGTTCTTTACCTTTCAAACGGCGAGTTTATCAGGATCACATTTTTGTTTTTTTTTCTTTTTCCAGAAGAGAAATAAAAACGGTTTTCATAAAGAAAACTTCAAACAATTCATCTTATTAAACGATGCCTGCGGTTGATCTGCGTCGCGGCGTTGAGAGCAAAAAATTGTAAAAGCCACACAGAGAGAGAGAGAGAGAGATCTCAAAGTTTGTTCTCGAATCATTAAAGAGCATGTATAAGATTCGTACGCACGAAGCGCGCGAGACTAGAATAATTTATGCCACACGCGTATTGCGAAGAGTAATACCGAGATTAGCGCATAGAATTTCTATTATCGGCAAATTGGAAGATTTAATACACACACACACATACGCTTATAAATATTTATCGCGTGTGTCAAACGCGACGTGTGTGACGTATCCGTTTCGCATTAAATTACACACACAAACGCGCGAAACTTGCAGCAATATCTGCTTTATAACGTAGGTATGCGATAAAAAAAAAAAAACAATAAAAACCCAACGCACAATAAAAAAAAACGCACGCTCTACTAATGAAAACTTTGCTTGTGCGGCGCCGCGTTTAAATTATTTTATTTGTTGTGTAAAAACAGAGTGTAATCGGAATGTGTGTGTCATTATTTCGCCAATTTTTCGCAATGGCAATTTTTCGAGATGCATCTTCTTTCTCTGCGAAATTAACGCTCTCGTAATTATGCGCGTGACTTCAGAGTACGTGTGTGCATGTCTGTGTGTGTGTGTGTGTGTGTACATGTTTCTCTCTCTGTTTCCCAAATAAAACTTATAAATTACCTCATTAAATACACGAATATGCAACACAGAATAACGAGAGCGTGCGACTAATTTGCATATATATTCCGAGGTATGCAAGACGACGCAGTGGTATAACCCAGTTATTCGCGGACGGTCAATGATTTCTCGGCCACGGGAAAATAGAAACGATTGGATTAGTTCCAGAAAGTAACTAAAATCGCATAGAATCGGAACGAACAGGGGGGCGCGTTTACAATGGCACTTTGTCCAGCAATACCGAGATCTCCGAATGACGTTGACTTACGGAATTCTCCAATGAATCGTGCGTAAATACATTTCCGTAAACACGTTAGATACGTCGGCGTTAGACGTGACGGTGGAATTTAGCGCGTGACTTTGTTCGTAATTCGAGAACTTTATTAGAACTCGTAATAAAATGTTGTTTTACGATTTGAGAAAAAATATTATGTATAATGTTGCCTTACAAAGTTTGTGTATGTAAAAATTTTGCAGGTTTCTGCGCTTATAACAGCGCGGTGGATCAATTACAATGCCGGTCAGGAAGGGTCTTCTTGCTCCGCAAAACACGTTTTTGGATACCATTGCGACTCGTTTCGATGGAACACGTGAGTCTATCTTTGTTATTTTTTTGTAACTAATCTCTTCTTGATTGTTTTTTAGCACTTTAAAAATGAACCGTGGGTCTCGCTCTGACGCATTTTATTTGTCCTTAAAAAAATTGTTTAAAATTTTTTCAAAATTTCTTCTTTCAAGAATCAACTAATATGTATTGTTGTTTATTTAACGAAAAAAAAACAGTTTTACATAATTTATTTTTAATAAGTTTTAAAGAGCATTTAAAAAAAAAAAATCTCCATAGGTTCAGAATTGAAGTTAATATGCTTTATTTCTTTAATCACTGCATGCACTTGTAAAGTCAATCAAATTGCGCCCACAAGATTGATAAGATGAAATTGTGTTGATATTTATTGGCTGTTCTTTTATCGATTTCTATTCTTCGTGTCAAGCAATTTCGAATCTTCTAAATCTACAATTGTAAATGATTAGAAAAATACTTTTTTCGTGAAGCTACTTTAAAGTAAAATAAAACGGAGTATAAAAAAGAACGCAAAGAACGCCGTTACGCGTTTCGTTCTTTTTCGATTAATCGTTAGCCCCATACGAGAGGATTAACGCTCCCCTAAGCGTCGCTCTGCGAGTTGCTAGGGTGACGAAGAACGCTATTAAAACTTCGGTAACCCTTTTACGCGAATTTCTCCCTTTGTCGCTTCAAACATATATCCTGTGTTTCGTGACGAAAACGGGGACGTTGATACAAATATCCGAACTTGTTCGTTGTAATCGTCGGAGATACTCTTCGCATGTGTTTCCTAAACAGCACGCCAGAATGAACGCGTTTAATTTCGTGTCTCATCCGTTAATGTTCATTACGCGTTTAACCGCGCCTAATATCCCTGTATCACACAGTTTCTCTTAACGGCTCGACGCGTGCATCAGCATTAACCGCGGAGACATAAACGATACGCGACACACAGGAATATTGTCAAGCAAACGTGATGTTGTAGCATTATTTATGTAATAATGAATATCTCGCGCCGGTGTGCGCGCAAATTAATCAAAAAGCAACTTTTCGATTCCTCAAGAAATTTCTGTAATATTTTCGAGAGAAACAAAATTCTGTATTTTCTTTTTTTTTTAATTAAATTAAAAAAGCCACATTGAGCCAATGCTGAATTTTAGGTGTATAAATATGCTCTATTGAAATTTTCTTCTTTTGAATTTAGTTTTAACTTTATAGAGCCTATATTACAACATCTTATCTTCTGTGTTATCTTTTGTTATTTTTTTTTTTTTCAATTTTCACAAACTTGAAGGAAGCTGAAACGTGAAAGATGAACTTGTCCAATACGTCGGAGAGACGTGCGTATAAAATTTCAAAAAAACATGTTTTGTAGTCTACAAGTGAAAATTAAAAAAGAGCAAAAGGAGATAATACAAGATAAGATAAGATATAGTGGTATAGGCTTCACATGGTTAAAATAAAATTAAAAAAAGAGAAAGAAGAAAAAAATAAAGCATATCTATATAAATTTGTTAATAAAGAAAACTAATCTTTCTGAAAGTATTTTTGTATATCTATTAATGGTGTCCGATATAGGACATTTCCGCAAGCACCGCGCATTCGTCTATATTCCATCCCCCGCAGTCCGAGAGAATCTTTCTATAATTATCGTAATATAAAGTTGGTTAACACCTTAACTATCGTGTGGGTCGAGTTGTATCAGTACCGACGTGAAGTTTGGTCTCCCGATCCTACGAGGGAATTTAATTACGAGAAGTAGGCGACGGATCACGTCGTCATCTTAAGCGAGTTACAGTCGGAGTTGCATCTCTAATAGATATCGGCGTTGTAGTTTTTCCCCCGCGGTATCCCGAAGAGAAACGTCGAAGTCTTCTTCGACGTTTCCGTTGATAGAGTCGCGTGTTTAACATATTCAATTTATACAGTTTAATTTGATACTTTGATCAACAGTTTCTGCCATGCTAATTTATTCGTTTTTCTTCATTACATTTACACGTCCCTCTTTTTTGTCAGGTAAATTTCCTTTTTTTTTTTTTTTTAATCTTCTTCACCTAGTTATTGCCAAAATTACTTTTTTAAGCCTTTTTTTGCATTTTTTTCGTTTTCTGTTTCAATAATTGACTCTGTGCCATGCGTCGAAGTGTTCTAACGGCGTTGTGCTTAGAATAAGAATAGTTCTGTGTGCACACAGTCAGACTGTCGCCTAAGAAAACCCCCATGTTTCACCGCGCTTGCCAACCCCGTGTATTTCACCACGTCTGCTAGCAAGCATATAGAATATTAATTCGACATCGGCGCCACGAGAATCGATTCCGTTTTCAAAGCGTGTGTATACTTTCGTTCTTAATCCTATGAGGTTCGTACGGAAGAATATCCTGCTGCTCGGAAATGTCATGTTTGATGTGTTAGTGACATTGTATACTTATATTTATCTGTTATAATTCAATAATTCCAAAAAACGTCAGGAGCACATTTTTCTCTGTGACAGCTCAATATGTGTGTACGTTTGTATTGCTTGTGACACATTTTTTAGAAAGCCATGTTGAAGATATTTTTTGTATAACCGTGTTTTTTTACCGTAGTTTTGATCTGGTACAAAAATATAGCAAGTAATTTCTGTTTTATTTTATCAATACAAACACACACATATTTAGTCGATGTGCGCGTTTATATTTTTGAGTTCTGTTCATTAAAGATTTACAAAGCCTTTTTATCAAACATTCATCGTCCGATCTTTTGCATTTTGTAAGTTATTCTCGTAATTCTAAAATGTCTGATTTTTTGAAGGAAAAAGACTCCACAAATTTTTATATAAAATATAAATCTATATTTGTTATCAAGAATGTGTTTAAATGTTGCTAGCGATACGTATGCCAGCTATTTTAAGAAAGTAATTTGTACTTTGCAACCAATGGTAGATCTCATAGTGTCCGACCTAACAGAGAAGGGAGCCATTAAGAGACAAAATAATTTATATTGTTTTCAAATCATTTGAGTTACGTTCTGTCTTTATGTTTGTGAATTTGTGATCAGGTTTTTACTTATTTATATATATACATATGTATATCGTCATAAATAAATTCTTTTTTTTTTCACAAAAATACACGTATAATAATAACGATTTTATATTGAATAAAATATTGAATAAAAAATTGAACATAAAATTTTAATTGCGATCGCACGTTACACAATCCTTATTATAAAAAATAGGTACAATCGCCGAAGTCGATGCAATTGTATTATATTGAGTTCAGTGAACAAACTTCTTGAGCGCGATAACGTTTCGATTTAAATATTGCTCGGCAAAATTGCACGAACGAATTCGAACATCATAAAGGAGATAGACGTCGCCGCAAACGGCGAGCGCCAATATCTCTGGACAGTTTCCAACTTCCAGTTGCATACGAGTCAGGCCGGGTCGTATCCGTTCTGAATCGCTACATCCGCCACTACCGTTTGTCTATACGTACGGAGAGATGCGCTCCCAACGCAAATTTCAAACCGCGTATTATCATCGCGTGTATCGAGATCTGTCTCTCTTATACAAACGTACATACGCGCGCGTAACATTGTCACGTACGGATAAGTTTGTTGGTGTATCGTATCAAAGTGTAACACATTATATTAATTACTGCAACAAGTTACGTGTATATCTCGAGAGATGAGTAAAAATAATGTGAATATTTAAACGACATCGCCGGTGACATTTGAAGAGTTCGGCTGGAATCCGTGCTGGAGTATATGTTAATCAAAATTACGAAGTCGTATTATCGGGAGTATATTAATCACTACATCGAGGAAACTGTGTGTAAATAGCGTTTCGTGACGAAACTCGCGGGAGGTTTAGTTTCGGGAAATTGCAATGTAATTACTTTTGCAACGGAAATATTGATGCCATTGCTAATCCATTGTGTACAGCCGCGTTATATATATCGCGCTAATGTATTAGTTTCCAATGATTCTGCGTTGGACAAAAATTCGCTGTAGGCAGATGGAAGAGAGCGGCGTATAATGAGCAATACAGGAGATATCGATCCAAGGGACGGGAATAATGATGATTACTAAATATGGATAACTCGCGTATCTTATCGTAAATAATAACGTGTATGACGCAGATAGATAACGATAGAATGATACACACACCTCTATCTGCATTTTGCTACTCGTGCAATATCAGGGAGTACGTATACAGGGTGAGTCTGATAAAACATTCATTACGTTTTTCTCGAAAACGTATAAGAAGAGATAGAAGAAGACGTCTATTATCAAAATTGTAGGACAAGCAGAAGGATTTTAGCGTAAAACTCCTTAGTGTTTGGTTTTCGCATCAACAATAAGAAAAAAATCACAGAAAAATAAAAAATCAATTTTCTATTACATAAGATAGTAAGTAAATGTAGATTTAGTTTAATTAAAGGTAAATAGTATTTGAATTTAGATTTTTATTTAAAATTAATAATCACATATTTTTCATGAAATAACGATGATTTGGAAAACGTACGGCATACAAATCAGCCGCTTACGTAGTACAGCATTTTATCAGCACTCATTGTGAATCATTAACATATTAAAAACTTCTTAATTAGAGTAAAACATTTTGAAAACAATTTGTTTACTTGTAACAACAAGAATATTCGTTTTATCGACGTGATCTGTATCAATTGTACGATACATTACTGGAAATGTGAATATCATCTCATTTTGGAATAAATAAACGAGGCGAGAGCTCAACGAAATGTTTCCAAACAAGTGGATCGGTAAAGGTGACTCTGTATTATCTCTGATAAAAGAGTTTATTTTCAACGTTCGTACAAGAGTTTAGATTTCAGTTTTCATTTTGACGTATAATTTTGTTGATATTCCGACAACGGTTGAATCATCGAAAGATACAAAAGTTATTAAATTCAACGAGTGACTAAAAAGTAGCTGTTACTATTTAAAAAGAACATTTTTTAATTGTTTGCTTGAAAAGCAGACACTTACAGTCATCAAACTATGTATGTGCTTCTACGTGTCCTACAATTTTGATAATGAACGTCTTTTCCTAACAGCTCCCGAAAAAAATGAATGTTTTATCAGACTCACCCTTTACATACAAGCCAACTTGACTGATAGGCCAAGGATAAATGTTTGTTCATGTACTTAACATTGAAAAACAGACAAATTTAATTCAATTCTACAAATTATTTGTTAATAATTGTTATTGCCGTTTAATGTTGTTATCGTTTTAATAACGTTTTATTACGTAACGAATTATCTCTCGAAGTCGAATTGTTCTTTACTAATGAAACACGCATTCTTTTATGCAGTTACAGAGATATATGGTTTCTTTTTTATTTACGATTTTTTTTCACATTATTACGCCGGAAAAAAAACGAAAGTAAAATGATAATATGTGGTTTTGGCAAACGAATCGATTCCCAAGTAAATCTTCCACAAGAGAGAATTCTCACGAAATATATTGAACGATAATCAAGGGACAAAGTTACACGGAATCCTCATGGGTCTCATGCTTTTCAAGGTTAATCTCTCGATATCCGCGTTGTCAAGTAGACATTATAATGCAAAAAGTTAGCTATTTCTCTCGTATGGAAAAGGCCAAGAGGTGATGTTCACTAAATTATGAAAATGAAATAAAAGAGCAAACATTGATATATAGTTTTTAATTACAAAAAGATGTACATTGTTACCAGAATTTTTTTTAAGTAAATGTTAACATCTATGTGGGCGTTTCTCCTTTTTTGTTTTAAATCTCTACAGAGAAAGTTTAATATTTTAACAGTAGAGGTAGTATAAAAATCATGAGATGTGAGAGAGAGTCTTTGCAAAAAAAAGAAGAAATAATTATATATATTTTTAAATTTATTTTAATTAATTAAAAAATATATTTTTTTATATACATCATTAAACAATACTAGCTTTGCTATTTGCTAAAAAACTATTATTATAAATCACATAATATTAACAAAACCTTGTATTTATGCTGTTTACAAGAAAAAAGATTTTCTATTATTTTTTTCCGTTGGCTTTTCTTCTGCACGAATGCGCACACGTCCATCATCGTATTGTTTAAATTTTTATCATGTAGTACAGGCGAGTAAAACAATCGCACTTTATGTTTGAGAGATCACGGTACGGTAATGAAAAATGAAATTGATTTAAACTGCGATACACAAAATTGAACGCGAAGAGATACGACCAAAGCCGAAGATCCGTCGTTTCTCCGCGGCAAAAATTCTTGAATTTTTTTCAAAGCACGACGCAGATCTTTTAATGCTCAGAATAAATATTATTCCGACCGCACCGTCAGTATTAAAATTTCTGTAAGGGGCAGTGAATTAGATTACAATACTGATGACGTATTTCCAAGCAGCTTATTACAGTGTGTCAAGAGCAACATAATTCCGCTATCCAAATCAACGCCACGCGTTTTGTGTACATATATATACATATTCGCATTGTGATCAACACCTGTAACGTGCATTGTCTGTCTCGTTGCGCTCGGAGAGATGCAACGTGAAACACCAGATAGTCCTCCGCCTCGGCGGGTCAATAACCGTTCGCGTGATATCATAGAAACTGTACACTGTAATATCGACCCCCGTTGGCCGCGCTTGATAGCGCATTTTAACTTCGCAAGAATATCGCGCGAAATATTGCAAACTCGAAAATGAATATCGGTTCAGGTTGAGATCGCTTGCGCGCGACGAACAAAACCCTCATTTAATTGCGTCTCCTCGGCCGCGACTGTGTCATCCTTATCAATGTGTGACGAACGTCAAGTTTAAATCTCCAATAAAAGCGACGGAGAGAGACTCACTTGTGAGTCACGCCGTGAGTTGTGACGCGGCACATCTCATATCCCTAATTTTGCGGGAATTAACGTATGGAAATTTTGTCAAGACAAGTCCATGCGCGCGATGTAAAAATACCTGATAAGAGGTCTATGTAAAATTATCCTTTCAAACGTTCTCTTTGTTTGCAGTTGACTTGGAACTAAATCCGCGAAACGTGACAAAATTTGCGAGGTCATCGGATACTTGTATTTACATATTCGTATATTTACATACACATCACGTGGTGTCTCCGTAATGATCAGTGATGACCGTGATAATCGGATTAAATATTGATGCCGTTGTGTTCAAAACGACACTTCGTGTTGTAACGTAACGTTGTTGCATAATATTTGATCAGAAAATCGGGAATACGTATTATCCGTGGATAAACCGCGTGGAAATAAACGGAAGAACGTGACTGACCGTAGTAGACAAAATCGACGAGCAACGTGTATCAAACGCGTAGATGGTCGCGTGATGTTCTCTCTCTCTGTTTTCACGCTAATTCACCATAACTAGCTTGCAATCGTAGATTTAATTAGATTCGCGTGTGGGCGATCATAGAAACTAATAATACACCATAAAAGTGTATTAGATCGTTTGCTACGTACAAGCGTGCGTGCTTTGATAATAAATTGATGAGAAATAAATTAAATTGAAAACTATATATTCGATTAGCAGCAGGAGCTGCGACGATTTAAATCAAGTATTAAGTGGGTTGTGAAATAATCGTCATCAAAAGCCAATTATTTTACAATGTACGGCAATTATTTTATAATCTGCTCTCCACATTAAAGATAAATTAAATCGCACGTTTCTTTGTGTCGCCGACAATTTTGCGGGCGCACGCGTAATCACGTGCATAAAAAACTTAAACAGTTTAAAAATTTCCTTTTGAAACGAAATTTATTTTACCGCGGTCCCTTTAAATCATAACACGCTGCGAGTTGAAATTCGAGACTTCCGGCGAATGGAAGTCCATCGAACTGATAGATGCAAACCATTATTGTACGTGGGCAATTCCAAACTGCAAATCGCACAAATTTCCGCGTAATTGCCCAAATTCCTCTTTAAATGCGCGAAATGTAATTTGATGAGGAAGCTTTTTGCAGCTTTGCGCTATATTTAAACGCAAACTGGCCGACTTTTCGTTCTTTCTGAAAGGAGGAGAGAAGGAGGATGAAATATAGAAAAATCTCGTACTTTTTTCAAAGTAGTTAAATACTTGTCTTGTCATCTTTGGAAAAAACATTCAACGATCGGATTACACGCGGAGAGAAAATCGTCGCGTTGTTCGATTTTACAGTTCGCGGTCTAAAATTAATTTCGAGAGACATCGGTTTGTGATCGATATGTACTTCAAGACGCGCCGCAAATAGAAGACCTTCGAGTGATAAAGAGACGGGCCGATTAACACTTTAATGCAAAATAATTAGTCATTTCATTTGATCCGCCGTCGTTTCCGTCGGTGTAACTTACGTAATTTGCTCGGGAGTTCAAGAAACCCCTCGGGATCTTCGTAATTATTTGGCGTTCGCCACCTCTCTCCCCGGAGCCTCCGCAGACCAAGTTACACGCGGAACGACTTTTCTTCGTGCGATTCGTTCCGCCCATCCGCCGTCGAGAGAGTTCTCGATCGATTTCTTTCGACTTATAATCGCTAAACTTGTAGAACTAGCGTACCTTTGATTTCCTATTTGTACTTTTTTTTTTTTTTTAAAGATCCATCTGCAGAGTTTGTAAGAAACGTGCAAGAGAGAATTACGTAAGTGTCACTACTTGCGTTACCGATAACCGAAATGTTGATGAGACGCGTCGAAGGGAGAAGCGTTTGCACAGCTGATTATATTCCAGTTCGTCAGACAGCGGCTTTGTCAATGATTCTGACGTCACTTCAGTCTCTAAGGGTTAAAAGCGACTCTATTTTTTTTTTTTTTTTTAACCGATCGTGCACTCGCCCTTGAGATTCTTTCCTGATTTCTTCTTTATCTTTTCCAGTCGTCGCGCATCGCTCTTCTTTCTTTCTCTCCTCTCCGTCTACGAAGATTGAGCGTATCTAATATTTCCGTCATGTTGCATCTTACTAGACGCTAAATTTCATTGTGTTCTCAGAAACGCGGCGAACGAGCGTTTTATATACGGGAGATGTGTTTAAATTAATACACAAAACGGCACGAGAGAGCGAAACGAGTCTCCTCGGGCATGAACTTTGTTATAGTGAAACGAAGTCGTATTTCTTGTGTAAACGTGGAGATTGCAGATCCGGAGAAACTTCCGTCAGTTAGCTTGCTCGAAAAGACGACGAAGACAACGACGACGCGACTCCTGTCGCGAAACGTCCGATACGAGGATCAGAATCTGTGTGTCTCTTTTACTCGTGTGCCGTAATAAAGAGCTTTATGCTCGTTTAATCCTTAATATCGACGCAAGATGCACATCCCGTGTATACACTTCTTTGTCAGCTTTTGTGATTTGATCCGCGACTACTAGGAGGACGCATCCAAAAATGGCACTGCGTCGTTTGATGTTTACCCGATGTGAAAAATAGAAATTAGTACGACTAGGATGGGAAATGTTAGAGCGAAGGGTTGCCGGTTAAAAATATGTCTCTTAAAGGAAAGCCGCGTGCTTCCTCGGGGAGGGCGTCGTGAAAATGTCAGATTTTCAGATACGCACTAGTAGTTTACGCTTAAACGGCGCAGGTAAATATATTTCTAGAACGGAAAAGAGGTCGCGTTGAGCGCAAAAAAAATATGTAAAATCGAATGAAAGGTGCGCGGCTACTGTGTGTGTGTGTGTTCTCGTGATACGCGTTGTGACGTCAAAGAAAACTTTATGCAACAAATTACGAACGTATGATCACGCAAGAATCAAGTTGCTTCGATATTTTCTTTGCACGTTGTAACAGCGGGAATTATTTTTATTACAGCACCGTCAATTGAAATGTTCCCAAAGCAAGTAACGTTTAATATTGACGATGCGCAGATTTGTCGCAGTCGCGATTAATCCCTTAAAAAACGTATATTTTTTTGCTCGCAGATAGCAACTTCGTACTGGGGAACGCGCAGGTTCCGTCGCTTTATCCGATCGTCTATTGTTCCGATGGATTCTGCGAGTTGACAGGATTTGCGCGAGCGCAAATCATGCAGAAAAGTTGCGCTTGCAAGTTTCTCTACGGCCCGGAAACGAAGGAGGAAGAAAAGGCAATGATCGACAAGAGCCTCGAGAGCAAGACGGAATTGAAAATGGAGGTTGTTTTCTATAAGAAGAGTGGTAAGATTCTCTTAAACATTCAATGACGAGGTATTTCTAAGCATTAAACCACCTACGCCATAAAAAGTCTACGGTATATTAAATACAGAATGATCTGAAACATTCCTCTTTCACGAAACAAAAATAATAGCGGGATTTAATGTGAGAATATATATGGTAATAAACGTTACGCAATAACAAAGACTCTGATAGCTTTATTGAGCGGTTATATATAATAACGTGCAATATATATATATATATGTATGTATGTATGTATATATTTATTTTGTTCGGATGTAACACCTGGCTTACAAAATAATTAGTATGCGAGAATTACGCGGTTATTTTATTTTAATGAATTAATAATATATTCAAATATTTAATACAAAAAGCCGAAAGAAATCAGAGAGCTTCAGCGCCGCACGTCCGAGTTGTTCCGATTCTCGATTCAAATTTAAATTGAAATCTTCGATCAATAATCCGTCGTCAAGACAACTCTTCTGTCTTTTTTTTTTTAATATATGAACATTCATATTATTCATACCGAGCAGTCAATATATACATACATACACACATATATACGTATATAAACGGTCTTAGTTCATGGAAAGTCTCTGTTTAATTTTTTCCATTTTTAATCAGAAATTAAATTAATATTAAAATCGTATTTTTTGACCGGCAGTCAATATTGACTCGAATTTTCTACGTTGGGGAGAGAGCGATATTAAAAAAAAAAATAAAATATTTTTTAAGAAAACTTATCGCGCGGAACTAAATGAAGCAATCACGCGGTTCCGCCTTCAACTTTGGCGGTTTTCATTTTTTTTTCTTTTTCTTGCGCAACGAGAAAAATTAACTTGCGGTAATGTTAACCGAGATTTTTTCCGCCATCTACTTTGACCCAGAATTTATTTCTTAGTTGACGGGACAGCGAAGTTATTTTTATTTTTATTTTTTATTTTTTTTTATTAAGCGCGCATAATTATGTACACGAATGTCGGCTAATTGTCAACTTACAAACTTGCGTACTTACAATTCGCTGTTGCATACATTAAAACAAAAAACACTTCGTAATTTCCGTAATTTTTTTTTTTAATATTTTTAAAAGATTACATTATTATCGTGAATCGTTTACTTTATAACAAGATTCGTGTGTGTGTATGTGTGTGTTCGTAAATACTACGTCCACACGTAAATATAAGAAAATTCCAAACATACTTTGATAAAACTTTAGTGGCAAAAGATATATCATCATACATAAAAGATCAACAGAGAATGACGACGAGGAATCTCCTTTCTATATACAATGATGTTTCTTCTTTTATAGGCCACACCGCGATACAATTCTATCGTTCCGAGAAGCGCAAATTTAATAAGACCAAAGTTTTGTTGTACATCCGTATTTACACACAGTAATAGAATAAACGAGGTGCGATTAGCTGTCCACCACAATAGTAGTGACCGTCTTGGCAGTTTCGCGAATGTTTTCCATTCTGTGGTAACGTAGTAACAAGCCACGGAATGTCGTCGCAGCTTCGCCTTGTATCACATTTTCCGTGAGCCAGAAGTGAATGTCGGAATGCAACCCTTTAGCCACGGCTCTTTCCTTCGTTCTCCGAGCAGCCCCGAGGCGGTCGAGCTGCGCGCGGAAACAAGACAAATCCGTCAGTTCCTTCGCTCCGTTGTCAGTGCGGAATTACCAACAACGCGAATAACTACATATCTATTGTGTGTCTTCTTTGTGCGCGTTTATGTTATATGTATCACACGATGTGGACAAACTCTATCGGAGTTCACTGCGAAAACAAAGCCCGGTTCTTAGTTCAGTCTTACATTACCCGACCAGGTCAGCTTGGCCACTTGAAAATTCGTGTGTGCGGTCAGCCTATTTGTTTTTAATTTCGTTATGGAAGTATATATTTGATTTAAAACAAAGTTGTAGCTTAAAATGAAAATATTGAATAATCGTTAATAATGGCCGATATTAGAATTAACAATATACATAAAAAAAACATTATTAAATTTTATTTTGCATTTTTATTGCTCTTTCGCGAGACCGAATACTTGTCTTCGGCTAAAACGCAGCGTTATTTTGATGCCAGCGTTGTTGAGTAAGTTCCTAAACGGAACCTGATGCTTCTAATGAGGGCATTTATCCCAAAGCTTCGAGCGGTGGTTTTAGCGCAAATGCAAACTCCATCTTACAACTCTTACGTGTATCGTATTTCCACCTTTTCCTCTATACGCACGGTCGTGTCTTCGTTCGCAGGAACTCCGTTCAATTGCCTACTCGACATCGTTCCGATAAAAAACGAGAAGAGTGAAGTCGTTCTGTTTCTGGCCTCGCACAAAGATATCACGTTCACGAAGAATGTTCAGCTCTACGAGTTACACGACAGTGGTGAGTTCTCCGACCGCTCTTTGCGTGTTAAAGACGCGCGCTCGGGTGATTGAATTTTAATGAGAACATGATATGTTTTCTTGACGTCGTGTCGAAACTACTACACGACCGTAATCGTATATAGTTTGTTCCCGAAATGTCAGTTACTTATTGTTAAATTTAACTTTGAGTTAAACACGAGATAGAGAGAGAAAAGACGAAAATACCTATTTGCGTTATTTATGATTAATATATCTCGCTCTATAATTTGTTACTTTCCCGGAACTTTGATACCGATTTTGCATAATCTCTGATCCAATAATGGCGTAATTTGCAATTCCAGACTCGAGTGACAATATCGACCCTGAGGCACCGCCTTCCAGCTATGAGAGGAGAAGAAGTCGCGCCGTCCTTTACCAACTGTCAGGCCACTACAAGCAGGACAATAAGCACAAAATTAAGCTAAATAATGTAAGGTTATTTACTTTATTTACAACATTGTCTCGTAAAGAATAACATGAGAACACAATGATGAGAAGCTTAACTCTAATTCTAAACCTTAGGGTCTTTTTTGCCCGGCACTCTTCAAAAATAATTTATGTAAATTGTTTTTTAATTGACACTTGAACAAAATGTCAGAAGTTTTGCAAAATTTTTTAAAAATCAAACAAAATGCATCGGATCCAATTAAGATTAAACTATAACGAACACTCATAAAGATACGTTATATAAAATATGTTGTTTATTAATTTAGAGAAGAAGAAACTTGTCCTCACGTAATTATTTATTTTCTTTTTGTGTCGTAAATATCTTTTCAAGTTTAATTTTGTCTTCGAAGTTAAATGATGCAAATAAAACCTTTCCAAACTTACATCAAAGATTTTTTTCAACACGATGAAAGCAGCGAGAGAGCTTCGGTATATTATTGCGATCGTCAGAAGAAAGAGAGAAAAAGAGAAATAAGTGTGTGGGTCTGTAGACTACAAGGACAAAAAAAACTCCTCCTGTTATATTGCATATTTTAGACGCTTCTGCATTCTACCGCGCCGCCCTTGCCGGAATACAAAACCACCGCAATCAAAAAATCGCAGTTTATCCTCAGTCATTACGGCGGCTTCAAATCCTGCTGGGACTGGCTAATTCTCATCGCGACCTTTTACGTGGCAATAATCGTTCCGTATAATGCGAGCTTCATCAACACCGATAGGCCTACCATGGTCAGCGACGTTGTCGTCGAAGCGCTCTTCATTATCGGTGAGTATCCTCCTCCTTCAATTTCGTCCAACGTGCCATTTAATCCTCCGTGTTTATCCCTTCGACATGTAGCGATAAACTTCTCACCTAATCCCGTTGGATTATTTCATCGGGTAAACGTAAATCCGTTACTTGAAAAATGATATAAAGATCACAATGGGTTTCCCTGATATACATTGACAAAATAAAAAAATTGCAAAATGAATATATATATAATGTAATAACGTATAGAAGAACTAGAGCGTTCGATAAATGTTCTGACAAGCAATCGCGGACAAAAAACGTATCTCTAAATCTTATTATTCCCATTTAGCAAGATGTGGGTTATTTTCGATCTTTCGGAATAATGTTCTCGAATGAACGGTAAAAGTCCCTTTCATTGGTAACACGTGAAGCTTGTTAAGCTGAAACTGTATGTAAGAAAACTTATTGGTCGTCCCATTCTCCTCTTTATCACGATAACGGATGGCTTCCATTCACCTTTCGTGGCAGTTTTCTTTAAGCCAGGAACACGTACGACATATATATATATATATTTTTTTTTTCATGCGTATTAGTAATTGATTTACATCGTGATGTAACGTCTAATCGTAAGAGGAGCACTCGCGACATGATTCCTTTCACATCAAGTTTCACGATAAATGATCTTCGAAACTAGGTGACTTGGTAATGCTCGCAACAGAGAAAAAGAGAAAATCGCACAGCCAATTTACGTAAATTCATTTTTAGTTATGCAAAAGAAAGTGCTTGAACTTTTTGATAATGGAAAGTTTCCGACCCGAACGAAAAGATGGTCAAACGTATTAAATTACAGAAAGGATTATAAAAAAATGATGAGAAAAAATATTCAATTTTGTTTGCTCGGGAAAAAAAACGTTTTATCTACATTTTTACTACATTATTACGTTATAATCATCTTTCATTGTAATATTTAATACTTTAATCGTGCACGCGCGCGCGCCGTGTAACACAGTTATCGTTAAATGTCCGATTTCAATTCCGAAAACGTTAATGTACACATTTGTGCGGTTATATTGTTTATTGCGGAGATATATTGTTGCAAACCTTGATATGGATAAACAACAAATATTTTCGATATTTGGTAATTATTTTTAATTTCGCTGTATAGAATTGCTTCGTCATGAGAGCTAACGACGTTAATAAATTTCGCATTAAAAGTTATTCGCGTTATAAATTGAAATAAACTTTTCATTTTTCCACCTACGCGAACGTAACCGCAAAATATCTCAATAGCGGAATTCGTTAGCAAGTTTTATTCTGTTGTGATTAATTGGAGAAGAAAAAGTGACTGTGTAAACGTCAATACACATATATATATATATATATATATTCCACGTATAAAAATATATCAGCTATGGTATCCTGCACTGGGTATACTGTGTACCTGTATCTGTAACTTTCGAACGAGATTAGTTTTGGATAAGTGGGCGCGCGGAACGCAAAATTTCACGGCTGAAATGCAATTTGCAAACGGGATTAAAAGGCATTCACGGCACAAAGCCGAGGTTCTGCTCGCAGCTGCGTGATATGTTTCGCGCGCGCGTGCGGGAAACTCGACGGGACAACAAGTATCAGGAAAGCCCGTTTCCTCTCTTCGGTCGAGGAGGGTTTAGTTAGTAGACGGTGATGCAAACAGATTCCGCATTTCCATCTGCTATCGCAATCACGATTATTGTCACGCCGGGCAGGAAACAATATCAATTGTTGTCGACGGGAAAGTATTAATTGATTGCTCCGAACGTTAGTTTGGGCGAGCGTATCAAACATCGTCAGAATATTATGGGATTCGTTCAGCAAGATTTATTGCTATTAATAAGAGAAATAATAAGTGTTGTGATAGCACCGGAGTGTGATAAGACGTTCCCGCACGGAATGCGAGAAGTCTGAGCTCGACTCTTGGCAAAGGTGATTTTTTCGCAATGGGTTTTCTTCCGAATTGAATCACAAGGGGAGTAAGAAGGGTGTTTCTATATACGAGATGCAAATCGAGCATTCAATATAGAGAGATAACCACTTTGCATAATCACTAACGTGGTGAAGACCGTGTAGTAAGGGCAGAAACGTTTGATTACATCATTATAGTGAGATATATTATGCAGATTGCAATTTCATCATCTTATTTGCTCGAATTGACCTGTCGTTATTTTAATTTCGATGAAAGTTTTTTTTTGAATTAAATTTATAAATTGAATTAAATTATAATAATAAATCATAATAAAAGTTTTTTATAGACAAAGATGCCAATCTAAAATACAAAATCTTTTTTTCATATTTCGAATAAATTAATTGGTTTTTTTTTTTCAATTCTGAGAATTTTGTTTGATCGTTGCGTCACACACTCTGATGTTCTTCTCTCCAGACATCGTGTTGAACTTCAGAACAACCTATGTAAGCAGAAAAGGCGAAGTCGTCAGCAATAGCAAAAGCATCGCTGTAAATTACGTGAAAGGCTGGTTCATCGTTGACCTTGTTGCGGCATTGCCGTTTGATTTTCTTTATGCTTCGGATGTTTACAGCGGCGAGGTCAGTATCTTTACTTTACAAATAGATTTTCTCATAACCTCCGGCGAAGAAGTAAGCGTAAACTCGAACTTAAGACTTGAGAGAGTCTGACGGACGTTTCCGCTTGCAAAATGAGAAATACGCGATCTCCCCTCGAGGAGATTAACATTGAAAATTTACGGCGAGTTTTTCAACATTTTTAATCGAGACTCTTCTCTTTCCCGCGCGCGTTTCGACGGCTTAGAGATTGATAGCGTTTTCGACCGCGTTGCGAGTTGAATTGCTCCCGGAGCGATTAACGACGTCAATTTGGCAAATCGACCAATCATATTGCTTCGGTTTACCGAAGTGACGTCATTAATCACTCCGGGAGCAATTCGACTCCCGTCGAAAACGCTTAAAGTGTGGAAAGATGTTCGCAAAATCTCTCCGAGAGATCTAAATCGGATTACTCGAAATTTAAGCTAATTAAATTGTTCTGTGATTAATAGAAAATCGATTGCACGCAATGAGCTTAGGAAATTAATAGGGGAGGTTGCTGAGTTCAAGTTTAAGCGTATGAAATATATTTTCACACAAAATGGCTTCAGTTTTTTTTTTTTTTTTTTTTTTACAAACTCAGCAAAACGACATACTTATTTCAACGAATGTTCCAGGAATCGGCGCACAGCAATATTCATTTAGTGAAGCTCACGAGATTGTTGAGACTCGCTCGTCTGTTACAAAAAATGGACAGATATTCGCAATACAGCGCGGTGATTTTAACGATGCTCATGCTTTTTTTCATTCTGGTGGCGCATTGGCTTGCTTGTATCTGGTTCGTCATCGCCGAGAAGGAAAGACTGCGAAACGACAAGGATTGGGAATTGGGTGAGTTCTTCGAGAAGCACAATTTGTATGCAAAGTAATACGTGCAGTTTCATTCTCTCTCTCGCTCTCTCTCTCTCTCTCTCTTTTGGAACATTTTGTAAGTCACACTCCATATCTGAGAGCTAGATTTTCACAAAGCTACTTCTTCACAATAACCAGACGTATATATACATGTATATGTGTGTGCACAGAGAAAACAATCTGAAGGTAGTTTTCGTGATCTGCAAGAATCGTGATATCTATCTCAAGAGAGGACATTCTACGTAGAAACTGTTGCGCACATGGAAAACGTATAGAAGAGATATTCTATCAGAGAATACAATCTAAGAGATAAGATTTACAGACATTATTTGCCAATGTTATTAAGAAATTGGTTCGACCAGCAGAGACGAAAAGTAGAAATGTCTATTTTGTCATTAAATAACTAGCCGTGATTTTTCTTAACCTTGGAAAAGTACACAACTAGAAACACAAACAAAGAGAGAGAGAGAGAGAGAGAGAGAGAGAGAGAGAGAGAGAAAGAAAAAGCGAGAAATGAAGTAGTGGAAATTTTCTTTAATATTTGTTCTTTCAGGTTGGATACACGCTCTGGCTGATAAATTGAAAATATCTGTGCAAAACGTCACGCACACAGAGAGCTACATAACGGCATTATATTTCACTTGTAGTAGTTTAACTTCCGTAGGTTTTGGAAATGTTTCGGCGAACACGTTTACGGAAAAGTTCTTCTCTATTTGCACGATGCTGATTGGCGGTAAGTTTCGGCGCGGAACAGTGTAATCGACGCGTTACTCTGTGACAAAGTATCGAGTTCGGTCGATTTATATATTTTTACGTTTTTGTGTATGTGTGCGTGTGTGATATTCACACGGCATATAAAACATTAATCAATAGTTAATTTTTTTGTGATATTGATTTCGCGGCAAAGTAAATTAAATTAATCAATCGCGTTCCATGAATTCAATGTTGTGCTCGATGTGATTACATATATTTCTCACGTGCAATTTGCGTTGCAGCTCTCATGCACGCCGCGGTATTCGGTAACGTCACCGCGATCATTCAGAGAATGTATTCCAGAAGATCTCTGTATCAGACCAAGTTACGAGATCTGAAAGATTTTCTAGTCCTGCATCAAATCCCGGAAGAACTCAAGCAACGGATGCAGGATTACTTTCAAACCATGTGGTCGTTAAATCACGGTATTGACGTGCATCGGGTAAGACTACTCTCTTTCGCCTGGTTTTCAATTAAATTATCGAATCTTGTTTCTGCGTAAATCTCGCACGACGAGAGAATAGTGTGAATTAACAATTGCGACGGGCGTTCGTCGCGATAAAAACAAAATGTGTGACTCTCCTGTGCAGACCCTTAAACAATTCCCGGAGGAACTACGGGGAGACGTTTCGATGCATCTTCATCGTGAGATTCTGAGTTTGCCCATCTTCGAGTCCGCCTCACAGGGATGTTTGAAGTTACTCTCGTTACATATCAGAAACAACTTTTGCGCCCCCGGTGAATTTCTCATCCACAAAGGCGACGCTCTCTCGTACATCTATTATCTATGCAACGGATCCATGGAGGTCGTGCAGAACGGCATGGTGGTCGCAATTTTAGGTAAACCATAAACGCAAATCAATATCCGCGTTTACATAATTAATTTGCTTCATAATGGACGACCGGCCGCTGCCGGTGTACCGCAAAATTTATTCGCGACAAACGTTTGAATCTGACAAGCTTTGCGCGCTCGATGATTTAAAACAGTTTTCGATCCTTACACAAGTTTAATACACCGCATCGAGGCAATTAATGTGTGTGTGTGTGTGTGTGTGTGCGTGTGTGTGCGAAATTTCTGATGCGGTGTGATTTTTTGTATTTTTCAAAGGGAAGGGTGATTTGGTGGGTTGCGATATAAACGTTCATCTGCAAAATAACGGAGGGGGCATAACGGGTTCCGGTTCGATCGACGTCATTGTAAAATCCAGCTGCGACGTCAAAGCGCTAACTTACTGCGATTTGAAGTGCATACATATACAAGGTTTAATCGAGGTGCTCCGACTCTATCCCGAGTTTCAGCATGAGTTTGCGAACGATATACAACACGATCTTACGTACAACTTGCGCGAGGGATACGAGGCAGAGGTAAATTAGTTTTATGTACTTTTCCGCGAGAAAGAAAATTGTTTTCTTCTTCACTCTAAAGGCACCGAGTTCGTTCCGGTTACTTTAAACAAAACAAAAAATAAACAAACAAACATATATATATATATATAAAACATACATATATAGAATCCTTTGCGATTATGAATGTTTAATGTGATATTTTATTTTAAATTTTACACACGTGCGCTCAAAAAAAAAAACAAGTTTTTATAGTATCTGAAAAAGTTCTGGTCTGATTCGGGATTTACATTTACATATTTATTTTATACAGTTTTTGCATATTTATTTATTTTTTCATCATCTTTTTAATAAATTTGTACGCTCTAATGAATATATACGCACTTTACATACATTGAAAAAGACAATAATTTTATTGAGGATTCTTTTATTTGACGACCGAATTTACCGGTCTTCTTTCTACATTTTAGCAGGAATCCGATATAAATGGACCGTCATTGATATTGCCATCCATCAGCGAGGACGACGAGAACGCCGCCGAAGAGGGTGAGACTTCCCCTTTAACTTCACCTCCAAACAAATCACCACTTCACAATTCGAGCCCGCGTCACGCAAAATTCAGGTAAGATATCATTATTGTATAAATATGTAAAACAGCATCGGCAAAATACATAATTTCTCTCATAACATATAAAAAAAGAAAAAAACATATACACACAAAAGAGAGCGGGAATACATTAAACGCATAATGGGAAAAGTAAAAATTGCTACGACCAAATGCAAAAGCGAGAGATAATGGACGAAAAAAAAAAAGAAAATATGCGAACAAAAGAAAAAAGGGTCCAATCTTGTGGTTTCCGAACTAATTCTCTCCCACTTTTTGCAATTAAACATTTTTTGTTTCTCTATTTTTGCAGAAAAACATAATATTGTTCTATTGTTGTTGAACATTTTTATCTGACACGCAACATTTTTATTTCTTTCATTTTTTTATTTTTTTAATTTTTATTTTTTATTAATACAAAAATGTCTGTTCCATGTGCCACGCGTAATTGTGCGTAAGAAAAAACTATTGTTTCTCTTGTGTTTCTCTTGTTGCATGGTAATTTGTTTTTCTTTTCTTATTACAAAAGTGCAAACACACGTGTATATTATTCTAATGTAAATTCAAGAATCGCACACAAAGTTTGTAAGCAGCACGGACGGGCTCTCTCTCTCTCTTCATATCGATTAGTGGTGTAAAGTAACGGCGAGAGAAACGAAAGAAAAACATCGCGACATACCAGAGACTCCTCACTCGCAATTTATCCTTTTCTGAGGAAAAATACCTTCTTAGTTATACCGTAACACGATTTTCCGCTCGGAAGACTCTCAAGCATCCGAAATCTCGTTCAATCTCTGACTTCGGTTGCGACGGTATATCTATATTGATCGGTGGTAATCCATTTTCGCGCGTATTTCTCTTGTTGTAAAATTCTCGCGTCGCGATTTTCCAATGTCGCGTTTTCTCACCGAGAAAGAGAGAGAGAGAGAGAGAAAGTTCTCAATATTCTGCAGATAGAGTAACAAAAAAGTTTAATACCGTTCGGAATACCAGGGACGATTACAGAGAAGGAAGACGAGCGAACAAGGTGGTGCTGCTGCGAGGAGGGAGGGCAGCGCAGGTGGTTGTGCAGGAATCTATGGAGGAGCACATCCTCGGATCGGTCGAGAAACTCGATAATCAGTTCTCCACGCTGCACCAGGACGTGGCGACGCTCAGTTCGGAGGTACTTTATGCAGATGTACTTTACAACATCGAGCTGATAACTCAATAGTTTTGATCCCTCGACTTTCTCGTGACTTTGACACAAGTTTCGTAAAAGTTCTTGGGATAATAAAAAAACAAAAAACAAACAAGAACTTCAGACTGACGCTTCAGACTATATATACAATGAATTATCTGATATAGATTATTTTTATCCAAATAGAGCCAAACGCTGGTTTTTGTGCGTAAACATTTTTATTCTCTCAACCTGCAAAGGTGGTTATGCGTTTCAACCTTAAGTATTAAATGAGCAAAAGAAAACTAATGAAAATCTAAACAAATCTAATTAAAAAAATTATACATACGTATGTAAACATGAAATAGATATAAGTATAACTTGAGAGAAAGGGAGAGAGAAAAAAGAAGACGAAATGACCCGTATTGGGTCGACAGGTGCGCAACGCTCTTCAGGCATTGCGGATACTCGCCTGCTCGCCCCAGAGCAATCCGAACCTGCCGACTCCGACGGCGAGCCGCGGTAGCGAGATCCTGGCCAGGAGTTCATCCCATCCGCCCGGCGCCGTCTGCTGGAATCCGCCGACGAGGGACGCGTCGACGCAGACGGACTGGGACCTGTTCGAGTCGTGGGTACGCGCGAACCCACGCAGAGTCCTGACGATTCTCGGGCTCGATCCGGACGTCGTCCTCACGCTGTCACCGCCGTCGCCCACTCCGTCGCCGTCCTCGCCTCCGCCACCGCCGTACGAACCTTTATCGCCTATGGCAGGTTCGCCGCAACAATCGCCCTCGCGATCTCCGACGACAGGTAATTACGTCCCCGAGCATCTTACGAACCCGAGAAAGAGGTGGTAGACACGCTGACAGCGCGAAATCGAGAAACAACGCGTGATTTATTAACACACGGCGGCTTTTAATACGGACCGACCAAAAACAAAAACCATTTTCATTTCAGTTCGAAAGAGGAGTGCTCTCCTGGGTAAGATACACATAACACGCGGCAGAAGAGCGTTTCTCATGGAATAAAAGAATATTTGCCCTGCAATTTTTCTTTCACGAAATACTCATGCGACACGGGAGAGAGATACATCTCATCATGTGAAAGGAAGATAAAACTCGTCGGCGATTTCACGGACACGTGTTTGCCTGATGGAAATTTTCCGTCGTCGGGAAAACACTCCCTTGTGAAAAGATCTTTCCCGTTACAGGAACCTTGGTAACAACCCTCCATATATGAAGGAGGGATGTGTATTCCCAATGCGCGGTGATCGCGTAGCTGGCTCGGTTTTCCACAAGAAGAGACTTTGTAGAAAAGATTTTCCATTTTTTTTTTTTTCCCCGGAACTTCTTTTTCGGAAGTTCAGATCTATCATATCGTGCGTAATCCGCGGACACGGGTTATTCCATATCGGTGAAAGGTGTGCGTCTTTTCGCATCCTTGCACAGAACAATCTCAGTGCGTACACGCAGGTTTACTACTCATACAACTATACGTAGCGATTAAATAATAAGACTGAATTTTTTTACATTTCTTGCGGGCGCGCCATTTATTAGCACAAACTGATACTGTGCGTATCTATACAGGGTGTATCGAAAACCGAATGTTAGAATCACTTTCTTTCTCTTTACTTTTCACTGTACCATACGCTGTATGACAGTTTTCGATACTCCCTGTAACACACTAAATGTATTGTTTTGTACATTTATGTCGATAAAACTTCATTGATTGAATCTATTTATTTATTCGTCTCCTTCTAACGTGTAAATTCATCGTTATCTCTCTCGCAAACTCTCTAATGTCTGTCTATTATTAAGTATAGAACGTGTATCATTTTCTGTAAGAAGATGATGTATCTTAATTAAGTTCTCTGTAGTTGAATTCGCGCTTACCTGACTCACAGCGACGTAACTGTAAGGATATCGGTCTTCGCTAACGTTAATTAAGTTGTATGCCACCCCCTCCGCTAAAAGGGAGGCCTCTCCGACTCTGCGCGGCTTTGTCGCACGTGAGGTAGTTTCGTGAAATATGTCACAAAAACCATAGGATTATTCACACAGAAGTTAGAAATTAACAATACATAATAATATAATGTGCACAACACATGTCACCGTACACGTCCAGTCTAGAGAATATTCGTTAATATTTGTTAAGTATAGATGTACAGAGTTTAGTAATTAAACACACTTCGCGAGATGCGGAAGGGGGAACAATGGCAAAGTGACGCGGCGCTGAAAACGACGCGAAATATGAAAGTTATTTCGCCTCGTGTGACATCCGACGATTCGAATCCAACACAACTGTATCGGAAATAATATCTATCTATTTCATAAACTTGTTAGAATCAATTAGGCGTGTAGAGAAAGCGACCATAGATAAAGCGACCTGAAAATATGTAAATATATGTGAATACGTTGTTGAAAAAAAAAATGTGATAAGAGAGTGAGAGAGAGAGAGAGAGAGAAAAAAAAGAGAAAAGCACGGCTTTGGCCATGCACAACTATCTTCATTCGAATATCCGTCGTTATTTGTGAAAAATTGCCGCTGTATGACGCACAAAACTCAATCTCGGGATTTGTTTTTTTTTTTTTTGGCAACGCGAATCTCGATTTTCGTTTCGTTGTTAAATATCAACTTTCGAATGTATATAGATATACTTTTCGATATCTTTAATTTACAATCAATATTGAATAATCAATTACACGAGATCACATTTGTGGAAAAAAAAGACCAATGAGACCTAAACCACGTACGGGCAATTTTTTTTCGTCGCGTACGGTAATTTTACCATAACGTTTTTCAAAACCCCTCGCGGATACATTGTTGTAATAATAAATGTGTTTCATTTGTTTTCCACGGTTTTCTCACCGCCGCGCGGTTACTTTACCGCGCGGCGAAAAACTTGTTCGTGTTCTGGACCTAATTGAGCTATTTGTCAGACAAACATATCCATCGGAATTTATTTAAAATCCTTTAATCGAATTAAACTTTATTGCAAACGTGTCGCTGTTACATACAAAAGCGCGATAACGCGCACATTTTCACAAATATCGTTGGAACGAGAAAATTTGCTGTGTTTTATAAATATATCTCATATATTTTTTTTATTACTGTTTCTATAATATGCTCCTTGCGCGCGCATTATTAATTCAAAGCTCTGAGTGTAACTATAATGTCAATGTCTAAGTGAAAACTAATCGAATATGCGTAACACACTCTCTTCACACGCGATTTTTACTATAAAATACTTACTACCTTTTACACTTCTCACTGCGAAACGAAAACTTAAACTCTATCGGATTCTCTACGTCGTAATAAGATCGATAAGTACAAATATAATGGAACAACTTTCTTTCTAATTATCCGCTCGAAAACAGGCAGTACGTTTGCTTAAAAGTATCGTTAAGATTAATATATATATATATATTATATATTCCGATTCTCTAGTCGATTGTAAACAAGATCGAACAAAGTGTTACACGCGGCACTGATGCTGTTCAAGTTGATCATGTTTATCGGTAGATCATTTTTCTTTTTTTTTTTCAGCAAAAGAGGTTGCACTTCTACACACAGAGAGAACAAGGAGTGCGAAAATAGATATTAAAATATTCCCGCTATTCTACCTCCGTCTCTTTAAAGGAAAAATTTATTAATAGGACTGAACGTTTCTCTAACGGCAATAATGTAATGGAGTTCATTATAATGATATATCGAGATAGTTCATGCCGCAGGAATGCAAATATCAAAAGAGAGAGAGAGAGAGAAAAAGCGATATAAATTTTTATAAAATATCTATACTCTCTTACATATGCACACGTGCGTTCTGTCGTAGTAAGAGGTTGATGCAGAAGTACGCGCGCAATATAACTAAAGTGTACGAAACACGCCTCGAGATAATTTTAAAATTCGTGTTTTTCAATAAATACATTTATCTCAAAAATACACATAGATACATATATTATATAAATCTAAACTATATATATATACATATATATATATATATATATATTTAGGAAACTCTTTAAAACCTGACGGCCTTACAAAATAAAAATTTATTTTTTTCACGACGATATAAATATTTGGCAACAAGTGTGAACGTATACGAGGCAAAGCGATTTCTAAAACTGATCCGCTAAAACAGTGAGCGAAGGACACGCGAAACGGAAATAAAACAGGAAATGCGACGCGGAGTGGGAGAAAACAAATTTCTCTGCAAACTTCATCTTCAGCGAAAAAAAATGTATCTAAACGTTTGTAAATATTTTTCAACACACTTGTACAATCTGCTTACAAATGACTTATTCTTTACAGTTCTTTTTTTTTTTTTTTTTTGACAGATGAGAGTTATAAATGTAACATTAAAAATGAAAAAAAAATAATTGTACAAACAACACTATTGTGAGATTTTATTTTACACATTTTTTTCTTCATGCAGGATCGCCGGCTTCATTGTCTGCGCGATTTCCAATATCCTGTACAATCACCCGTTGTATGAAATATTGCGTTGTGTTGCGAGAAAGGCACAGGCTCTTTCTTTCGAGTGCGAATTTGAAAAGAAGTTTTTCCAGATTGAATTTTTCAGAAAAAATTTCACATAGATAAAACGTTTCGGCGAAAAGAAAAAATGCACTTGGTATACTCGCGGATAATGAATTCATCACGCGTTTTACTGTCTTGTCCTCAGAGATCGGAGTTACCCTTTCTCGCGAAGAAGCGCGCGCGTAGATGATGAAGACCCGTCACTGCCAGCGTGTTTCTTCTTCGTCTGTAGGTGCGCGACAGAGATCGTCCGCGAGAGTTCGCGGGAGCAGAAAATAAACGTGTTACGGGGGGCTCGCGGCGCGGGCCATTTTTGGGATCCCCACCCGGGGGGGATCGTTTGCGTCTTTCCGTCGCCGCTTCTCGTCCGGCTGGCTTTTCCGTTCTCCGCTCAGATACTCGTCTCGCGCTGCTCCGATCGCTCGAGTTAGGGTAAGTGCATCAGCCGATAATGCGCTTTTTCTCTCGCAGTGAAGAAACGCTTCGCTTAATTATCTTCTCCCGCTGTTTCTCTTTCTCTCTTTTTTCTTTCTTCTGCCTTTCTTCTGTTTTTTCTGCGCTTTTTCCCGTGCGTCAGAGAACGAGAATGTGGAATCAACCCTCGTCAGCTTGGGGCGAAGAAGAACGGAAGTGGAGGACGAGAATTAATCGATTATATCGTTTGAAAGTGATACACACCACGTATGATCGAACTAACCAGCGACGTTTGAAGAGTTTTTTGGAGTTTGCTTTGCTCGTCGCGGCTCGATTGCCAGTGCTTGTAAGTAAATCCTTCGGGATGTGTGAATTTCTTTGTGCGGATGGATATCGCTCGTCGATCGATCACTGAAAAGTGATGGACGCGCGCGTAAATTGGAAAAAAATTATCAAGTCCCGCGGAGAGGAAATAAAGTGCTTTAAAACGATATTTTTGCAATTGTCACGGTACACCCGTAAGTATTTTGTTCATGAACTCAATTTTCTCGGTGATCCATCCGCGCAATATATATATATAGTTTCCGCCTTTTTTGAAGCGCTTTATGACGCTTTCTTTTGCGTCTTTTTACAATTCTTGTATTTAATTTGCATGTTTAATAAATTTGTTGTCATTATTATTACATTATTCTCATGCAAACAGCGCAAATCTGTTCGATCTGATTGTGTCTGTATTCGATTGTTCGATTAATATTCGAATTTAATATTCGACGACGGACGACGTTCGACTTCTTGCAGGAAGCTATATTTGCCGTTTGAAGAGCGAAGACTGTGGATAAAATGGCTTTGCAAGATTTTCTAACCGCGCGCTGCGCCACAAATAATAACACAGCTCTCTGCTAACGCTTCAGGAATTTGTTTTCGGATTTAACATAAAACACAATGACGTAAGTAGCAAATGTCAACTGTGCGTGTGCTAACACACATTTTCATCGAGCAATTAAACACATTTTTGACTAACGTTATTTTCGACACGTACTTGATGACTCGCGCGTTTATCAAAAACAATCGCGCTCGAATTGTTGCAATTGAATGTTGTTTAGCAACAGCAAATAAAAAATATGATAATGTCGTGTTTGACATGAGATGACATGTGCAACGACGCTCTTGGTACGCTATTAATATCTCGGGGCCAAATTAATTTAAAAAAAAAAAACATTAAATTTAAATAACATTTGATAGCAAACATATATAAATGCCGTGGTCAATTTTGTCGTGGTTTTTTTTTTTTTAAAACGTTTATACACAAGTTGCGCTAAATAATTTTTTTCATTTTTTTTTTTTTTTTTTTTTTTTTTTTTGTTTCTTTTTCTTTTAGCTATGTACGGGTAATAAATACACGTATCTTTTTGCTTTTTTACATTGAAAATCAATATAACATATTATATTGATTACATGCAGCTCTGTCTTTTTAACGGCGTTTCTGCTTTAACACACACATTAAATGTTTTCC